GATAATTGACGCAGAACTATATAAATACAACGGAAACTAAAATTCGTTTAGAGCCGTGCGTGCGGTGCGTCCGGCGCGGGCAAATGGAATCGTTTCTTAAAATATGTATGAATAAATTATTCTCTACAGCAGTAGAATCCCACGGTTATTTTGATCAATAAGGATTATATTTTACTTCTGAGTTACGTAAATATAAAAGCTAAATATTGTTTTATTATTTAAAATACAAACATTAACCGTAAAAAAAGTTACAGGAGTTGTTTATGGAAAATTTTGTTGAGCCCGTATAATGGAGGGATATTCTTTTGGGACGGTTAATTTTCATTATGAGCCTTTAATTTTTTAACTTCTCATTGGTAATCTCGGCTTAAAATTTACAATGAGATTTTCTGGTTTTACGTTTTGTTTCCAACATTTTTACTGTATTTAAATACTTGCGATTTTGACATTTTTTTGTACTTTTAAATGTTACTTACGGCACTTACTATAATATAATTTTAATACTTTTTAAATTAAATAGCACTCCACATCTATTTTTCTTTAAAAACTTGAAGAAGCAACGAACTTATTGGTTTACTAACCCTTATTCAATACTATCATAAAAACTTATTGCCTGTAAACGTTATAACAAACTTAGCCAACTAACTTCAGTTACACAAAATACATGCCTCGAAAGTTTTACAACGTACACAGCCTGAAGTGTTTGTCGGAACTTTTGAAGCAAGAAAATTTAAAATACATGATATGATTTTATTGAGGTAAGCTATAACTACGATCGTTTCTTGCTTTAAAACAGTCTAGTTATACTGTTAGGTTCTAGAAAATTCGAATAGACTTTCGAAAAGAAAACAAACGAATTAATAACCTACTTCTTTATGAAGTCGGATATTAAAGTTATTCTGACATTTTACAGTAAATTGCTACAAGATAATTAAACTCTATCATCTCTTATATTTGAAGTTAAGGTATTTGATACTGAACACATCGTTTTATTTCAATTTTATTTGCAAAAATTAAACATATGTTAGCCATGTTACATACTCTGTAATTCCGTAACCTAAAACGTTATATAGTCTATGCTATAAGTCAATAACACTTGTTAATTTAAAATAACAAAATTAATCATTTGTATTACGATCCAATGATTATTTAAATATTTGATTCTCAAATATAAAATACAAGTATTTAACTTATCATCTGATTGTTAATCACCTGACTGTATTTCGTTATCGTAAATTAAAAGTATTGTAATTGCTCGTCTGAATGACGGCCATGTTTTTTCTGACATTCGGGTAATCGAAAAGACAATGTAACAGCGGTGTTTTTGAAAGTTGTTGTTAAAATTTGAAAAGAAATATATGAGTTAAAGAAGACTATGTTTTATTTGAAAAAGTATTCTCCGGCTGTGACTCCCCACACATATCTGCCGAAAGTATTCGTGTAGAAACGCAGAGTTGATAGTCATCCTTCTATCTCTTTCTAATGTATGCAACTTATGTTATACTCTTTCTCTTCGCCAATTTACCAATATATAAATCTATAGTTGAAACACCTTGCATCACTTACCTTTTTTCTGAGAAACGGAACGCTCCATACATTTACTAACAAAGCGCCCATGGCTTTGTTACAAATATAAAGCCCCCTCCATACAATTAGCACAATAGGCCTCGGCGTTTCATCTGCCGTGTGGACAATAACGATACGATGTCTATAGAAATCTTACAGATTATATTTAAAGAACACCATTTCTATAATGTATCAATATAAAATGCACGACGATATTTATATGTATGTATACTAGCAGTCGCCCGCGACTCCGTCTGCGCGGAAGTAAATAAAACTTCATATGTGTGTGTTCTTTTAGACTATGTTTTACATCTGTGTCAAATTTTATAAGAATCATAGATAAGCATCCATGCATCTAAACTTTCGCATGAAAATAAGCACCTATACAAAAATCTGTTGTCATCTCTTTCACTCACTGTGATAAAAGAGAGATAAAAGTCGACTTAGTGTTTTTACTGATCCCTCAGTAGTTAGGATACCGGTAATACGTTTAACTCTCTACTAGATCGAAATATCATGAGTCAAAACAAATTAATCTTTTAATTTATTATTAATACAGTTATAATTATAAAAAAATGAGAATAATAAAGTTCTGATATCTATATATCCCAAGGGTAAACGATTGCCGCAGAAAGATCCTCGTCTTAACTTAAACAAAGATAAAAGTAATTTGTGGTTTCTTGTTTTACGTGAAACTTTCACAAGATTGTCATCTCATTCTTCAACTTTATCGTATTTTATACTGTATTTTCGTAATTTAGCCACAAAACTATTTTACCATCCTGAATTATAAGCTAATTACGTAATTAAAAAGCTAATTACGTATTTTGTCACGAAACATATCGTTGTCTTTGTTTTATTTAAGGAAAGTGAAAGGGATCAAAATATATTTTTGTAAAAGTACAGATATGTGGAGTGGAAGTCTTTGATTATGTTGCTTTTATAAAACTCCAATTTCTCCTTTGTTTAATTTGAAAATCTACGTAGAACTTATTTGATATCAAAGCGGTTTTCATTATTTTTATACTGTAATAAACCGTCTTCAACTAACGTTAGCCATCTGTCAGTAACCGCAGGGAACCGTCCGCGTTTCCTGCAGACTATTTTTACGAGTCTCCCGGGATGAAATGGAGCGGTGGATACTTTGACATCACCGTTTCATATTTTCCATTTACAATTAAAATCAATGAAGCGAATAACCCACGATGTAATCTTTATATTATAAATGCGAATGTTTAGATGGATAGATGTTTATTGAAAAGTATCTGCAGAACGGCTTAACGAATCTTGTTGATATTTTTTAATTACTTTTTCTTTCATTCCGATCAGACGGAGTCGCGGGCGACAGCTGGTTCTCAATTAATCGTCAATAATAATACATCTAAGTTACCAAGTCACACTGTACTTGTGTCTTTTAGGTCTATCGTTAGTTTTAATTCTCATTCGTTGCCAAGAGTTACATTCTCGTTAACAACCAATTGAACCACATACTCTGTTGTTTCTTTCGCTGTTTTATATCATAAGAGATTAAGAAAAGGGTAAGAGTATATTCCAGCTACAATAATGCCACAGCTACGAGCTTGGTGTAATAATATGAGGTAAAATACAGTCGAAAGAAAAACATTTCTTACAAAAATCCGTAGCACCTCCTACGACGTAGGGATTTTCGTATTTTCTCATTTCACCAAGAGACTACTTAGAAAATTTTATCATAACAACAAAATGAATTCCGGGAAACAAAAAGCTAATTCAATTACGAATACTGCTTATCAAATATACTTACTTATAATATATTTATTTATTTTTTCAGAAAAAAAAATCTTATTTGTAAACAGAGTATAAACATGTCAGTTTATTTAAACACGTCCTGGCCCTCTTCAAATGTCATTTCTGCATAGATAGGTGATACGATAGATGTGTTTAGAAAACCAATATTTGCTCTGTCAACACGGACAGCAAACTGATACAAAGTATACGATAAAAATTTATGATAGTCATATGTTTATGAACAAATTCACCGCAAGAAAGTTTTAAAACATTCATTTAAATGATGAAAAGTCGAATGCTTTATTAGGTATTCATAATACAACTGGAATTAGGTGATAACGTGGTATAAATGAAATACACCACATCATTCTATGGTCCACTTCTTGTTGACAATTGTCAAACACGCTGGACCAGTGTGGGTTGACTTCACATATATCTTTTAATTTCTTTACAAATATGTGCAGGCACATCACCGTAAGAAAGTCGGATAAGTGTACATGGCGGGATTTGAAAACAAGGCCTGCAGATTACAAGTCGACTGCCTAACCCCTAAAACACCGACACTTTTAGCTACTTAAATGTATGAAATCAATAACGAAATATTTTAAATCCCACTTATTTCTCCGAACATTAACTGACTACGATGTTCTTAACAACTGTCTAAAAATAAATTAAATTCGAATTCAATTCTAGAGTCGAAGTTTTTTTTAACACGATAGTTTCTTTGTCCCTAGGGGATTAATTAAATAATTCAATTCCAGATAAAAAACCGCTCGGGGCCTAATTAAATTTAAGTTGCAAAGAAAAATTTAATAGAATATGCTAAAATATACGACGTTTATGCTATTTTAAATCTAATTTATGGTGTGATATTACAGCATTTTTTATTTAGTGCTTTGGTAAAAGATAAATCGTTTTATGTATATTATTTTTAACAACTTATCAATAAATGGTTTAATAACTTACCTGTTACGATCACAAAACATTGCTATTAAGATTTAACAGTTAAATTAATCGTCAATTATTTTCAATGTATTATTACAGTAAACCACATTCAATTTATCAAGACACCTTTTGGCAGAGATAAGCAGAGCATATGTCTATATTTTTGGAGCAGAAAATTCAATTCCATTAAGTGAGATCTGTCTCCGTTTCTTTACCGACATTTTTTCTTATCTCTCCAAATGTACAAAAGACACGAAACATTTATCCTGTATCATTATTTACGCGTTCAATTTCGGATAAGTATGACAAAATGAAATGGGAAGCAATTTGTTATTGCAATTAATATCTCTGACTACAATAAATCATATTATAGGTTATAAATATTAAAGTAACGCATATTGTATTGTACCATGCATTGTGTAATTTTTTAAAGATTTATCTTAAAACTATTGTTGCTTTTAACAGTTCATTAAACTGTTAAAGAATCTGTGATATCCGTTATTAGGTTACTTATATTTCAAAGGAATTACACATCCTTAGAAAGCTCTATGGATAGATAAGTTTATAAAAACTATTTATAGTGTCAAAAACTTGCTACTTATAACTAATGTTTTCTATGCTTACAATATTTCCTTAATATACACACCTTATCAAAGATATGTATGATTTTTTTACAATTATAATTATTCAAAAGTGAAAACATTACTGTGAAAGAAAAATACTTACCCATAAATCGCAGCGGCCCCGGCGATAGCGCCCCCGCACTGCGCAGCCATGTACAGTGCTGCGCGCAGCGGCGACACCCGCCGTCGTACACACAGCGCCGCGGACACTGCGGGGTTCACGTGAGCACCTGTACACAACAAGAACACATCAGCATCATAACATGTTCAACTTTATTATACCATACTTCTGTACAATCAGCAAAAGTTGATATTATTGCTTTCAGATATCTTGGCAGCCAACCTCGCGCGAGTTGTTGCGCACAATTTTAGGCTTAGAGGAGAGTAGCGGGATGCGGGGGAAGACAATGCGCCGCGGATAGCCATCACCGCAAAGATATATGAAAAGAATTATACTGAATCTACTTAATCGTATAAAACTGACAAGACATGTAACAAACTGGCCATCTATCTTATTCCTTTAAAATAAACAAAAGTAACAATATTTTGTATTTGTAACTTTTTCGGCAATGTTAATTAATGATGACATAAAATATTATTCTACTTAAAACTTATTGTTCAAATAATTTTACAACTAACTAATCCAATAACGACCCGAGCTAAGATTCCCTGAGGAACTCTGAATTTTAGTTATAATACTTCTGAGTTGACATACTTCACGTTATTATTTATGTTTGAAAATTGTATTTATTTACTAAAATTAAGACTAACTTCCATGATAGTCTCTACTACATACAATAAATCTACACACACACACACACACACACACACATACATTGACATCTACCAACATTGAGTTAAAAAATATAGCGATGAACCTTTTCCGTTTTCGAATTCGATTCATATTTCACACCTGAAAGGAATATCAGATATGTTTTTTCAACATGTTGAACTCTTGTTTTTATACATACACGCAAAAGTGCATTGCGAACAAAAGGAGCTCAGGTGAAATAATGCAACGCCGAGTTAACAGTTCAGATAACGAAAAAAAAACTTACTTAAATAAGATTTTTTTTTGTTTATATTTCAGTTTTTAAAAGAACACGATTGCTGGCTCAATTTTTTAGAATTTTTTAAATATATACAAAAGAACACCTAAAAATAAAATATAAATTAGCGTACAATATGTCATTACGTCTTATTCATAAACATTACGTAAAACATGAAGACCTACGTCTTAAATTTTTAACCCTGTCTGAAGAACTCAAAAAAGATTTGAACGCGTTAACTCCTTTGGCGAGGCATTCGCGCCTACAAGTGCTGAAAACGCGACAATGCGGACTTCCAGACGGAGCAATTACGCATTCAAAGCATACAAGGCAATTATAAAGTCTAAAACATTACTTTAGTAAATGATACCTACGAAGACGAAACAATTAAAACTTTATATATAAATCTGATACTTTCATCAATCTTGTAACTGATATTTTAAAAGGTAAGATCATATTGCATCAGGTTTGAAGAATAAATTGCGAAGGAGATTTAATAATACATAAATCTTACTTATTTTATAAATACGAAAGTTTGTCTGTATGCGATGAATGTTTGTTAAGAGGTAACTCCAGAACGGTTCAATGGATTTCGCACAGATATAGAGCATATTCTAGAAGAACACATTGGCTACTTCTTTATTATCGCGCGAACGAAGTCACGGGCGACAGCTAGGATAACACAACAATTATTTCAGTCATATAAATTAACTTGACATATCCATTACATTAAATTACATTATTCATATTCATACGCTGCCAGTATCTTCAGGACCTTGCCTAAAGGTACTCCATTTAATAATATATTTTAGTAAATTATTCGTTTTTTAATATTTTACTTCACATAAATTTAAAGAAGAAAAAGAAGATAAATACTAAGACATAAAGTACCAACGCAAAGTGATACATTGCAGAATGCAGATAAATTTCTTATGGAAGTCTGCAGTATCACAGGACCGATATATTATTATTCTCCGCGAGTAGAACGCAGTGAGGGAATTAAGATTTATAGAGTTCGTGTCGCAACGAAATAATTTTATAAACTACTCTCCTATAGAGAACTTTAGGCGAAGATATTAGGAATTATATAAAAACATAGATAATGAATTAAAAATGTTATCTTATAAAACATCTTGTTTTATTAATATTCTAAAATGAGCTCTCTACTCTATGATCTTTATACTCTTTGCACCTGGACTTATCGTAAACTGACAATGACGACATAGCATAAAAACTTCCAAACACGTGTGTCGTTTAATTGAGTAGACAGACTTGTATTCAAGCTATTTTGCTATGTAATTCCAAAATACTGTAACTGCTATTTTTTATCTTTAGTTGACGAGTTTATCTCAAGAATATCAACATTTAATGCAAGCTTTGTTTCAAATTAAACAATGAAACAAAACACCAAACATTTAACTAATTTAAGAAGCTTTTCTTGAACAATACAGAAAACAATATTCTAACTAGCAATACAATTTCTATATACCCTACTATAGTAGATAATAAATAACATTAGTGTGCGTTATGGCCCGTGTTCGCTACGCTTTGACCCTCGATGCATTACAAAAACAGGTAGCTAAAGCTTAACCTATAATGGAGGTAGAGGCGAGAAACGGACGGAATAACAAATGTCATAGAGATGAAATTTTAGTATTCAATCTCTGTAAACCAGCGCAACGGAAATTCCAGTTACAAATCAAAAGAGAATTTTTAAAAGTCCGCAAAGGCCAGATGTCCTCGATCCCGTTGAATATTTTTTACAATATTCGCAATACAATGTATATTTTTAAACTGTAAAAGGAATTTCATCTCGAAGTTTAATTTCTAATAACTACATAAAATTTTATAACCAGCAAAATATTATCATGTACAGGCCGGCTAAAAAAACATAAAAATAAAGCCAATCATAGATTAAAAGTAAATAAAAAGTCGATATTTGAAAGCAAATTGAAGCGAATATCGATCGAAACTTCAGAGTACATTAGTGCGATCTTTAAATAGGGATGGGACGAACGTTGTTCACTTGCTCAGTCATTAGTGAAAATTAGGGCGCGCGGACACCGCTTGAACTTTTAAAGATTTATAACATCGACTCGCGGACATTAGCTAATGCCCGAATTAGTACTCGATTGTTGAGGCGATCGCGACGTGATGCTACGGATATTATGACACAATTTAAAATGACATTGTTCCATTAATATGTGGGGCTAAAGGGTGAAGGGTGCGACACGTGTCGTGTCTATAAATATTAAAATTATTTGAATCGTATTGTTTTTTTTTAAATGTACAACAAAAAGACTGGCTGGAGAAGGAAAGAATTAAAAACAATTTACTAGATCACATAAAGGATGATAGAAAATCAGTATGTATAACAAAATCGTAAAACAAGCAGATGCAAGATACATTTGTCTGACGTTAGGGGCTTGTTAAAAGTCAAATAATTAAAAACATCTGCGTGTTCGTGTCGTTTCTTAACTCGAACGCAAGACGTCTGCTGCTGATGTCTGCAATTGAAGCTAAATTATAAGTCTCGTGCAGCCGCCTCAACAAACATTTAATATCGTGAATAATATGACATATTACATGTTTTGACTCTAATATAATAATTGTAGGAAGAAGTGTACCCCAACAGAGCTTTATTAAGAAAATTATTTTCTAAGATCCTAAAAGGAAAACAAATATTAATAAATCAATGCGGTTGGTATTTAAAAATAATAGACAATAGAGAAATATTTCAAAAGTTCTTACTATTAGAACTTCCAATTCGAATAAAAAAAACATAGCAGAACACGTGGCCGTAAGTTGGTCGGGCTTTTGTTTTTTTGGTTTTTTTATACCAAAGCCGGTGTAGAGCGATATCCTCTTCGGGCAAACAGCTGCCAGTATCCTCGCAAATAACGGGTTTATAAATTATATTAAACACTACGTTTAAGTGTGTTTGTGCATCAGGTTTCAAGCGGAGTATTTTATTTTATATTTTTACGCTCTCCGTAGAGAGAATATAATGAAATATAAGTTTTACCAAAATCAAAGGATTCGTAGAGTATTTTTGAATTTAAAATGTTATACCAACTAAATATGCTAGTAAAGGGTAAATAAAAATAGAAGAATATCGGATTCAAACTAACAATGTTTTCTTTCGCAACGCGTACTAGAAACAATAGGCGCTTATAATTACACTATAGCGAGATATAAAACCTATCTGCAAGAAGACGTTTAAAAATCCTATCATGAAGACCTTTACCTGTAAGGACCTTGGTCAAAGGCAGAATCGCTAAAAAAAATAAACTTGTGTGTAACGTGCTTTTTGTTTCATAAAAATATAAAATGATGTCAAAAAAAGCGTATATGATTTTTCTTACCAGATATATGAGCGAAGCATAATGTGATAGTGGCTATAGCACAGCCGGAAGCGAGAGCGGTAGCGAGTAGCACCGCTGAGGCGGAGGCGCCGACGCCCGCGCCGCCTGCCGCTCCGCACACTATGAACACGTAGAGAAAGGATGCCGCACACTCTGCCACAACTGCCTTCCACAATGATAAAGTCCTCACTTCCAGCCGCGCCGGCATCTTGCCCGACAACCCATCCGAATTCGCATCTTTACGCATACACTCTAATTTTTCAAACAAAGTAATAATATGCTGCTCGATATTGTCGTCCGTGATATTAAAAGTTTGTTCACCCATTTTAAAAAGTAAAAAAAAACTAAACCTCAAACATATTTTAAAAACAAAACTTTTTGGCTTTGTCGCATTAAAAAAAAATTTGAAAATGCGCGCGAAACGCTCCTGTCACGTATTCCCGCCCACGCAGTAGCGCGGCCTGTTTCGAAGTGAACCGGCGCTTGTGCTGAATGAAGGAGCACTGAATGAATGGAGAAACGGAGCCGGTGCCGGGCGCACTGGGCACAACGCACATGTGCCCCCGACACTTGTTACGCCCCCGCCGTCGCCCCTCCGGACCTGCACTTTCAGCTAGGGTGAATCAAAATCGAATCATACGAACTAGACAATTGAAAACACAATAAATACTTAATTATAATTGCCATGGGTTTACATGAGTATATAACAATTGCAACTTTAAATATGCACTAAAATAATATATAATCAGCACAAACTTTTCGAAATATATAGATATTACTTTATATTGCAAATTATCCATCTAGTAATTAAGAGCAAATTGGCTGAAAACTGCGTAACTAGAAATTATCGAACTGAATGTGGTAAAATATTGTTTGCTTTAATCAGTAATTAAAGAAATGAAATTTATATTTCGCCGATCGATTAGGATAATATAATACAATCTGCCTAGGCAAATTATAAACTGAATAGAATGTTGTCTTCATTGGATAACAAAAATTCATGAACTGTCGTCGTTAAATCTCACTTCTATTTTTCGATAATTCGGTCAGTGCACAAATTGCTCACAAGTTGTCTGATGTCTAGTCTGATTATAAATTGACTTATTTCGCATATGGACGGTGACGTCAGAATTACAAAAATGAATAACATGTTACAAGTAAAAAGGTATCATGTGAGAACAAACATTAATGGCTAAAGATCCTACAAATTGATGTATAAGAATAAGATACCGTTACTTGCCTTGGCTAAAGATCCTACAAATTGATGTATAAGAATAAGATACCGTTACTTGCCTATCTTTTGTGTACATTGATATCGTCAATTTTATAGTTGTTAGTTACTACTAGTGAGGTCCTATAGAAGTAAAATGAAACATCAAAGTCAGTTGTCCCATTTCCACCGATTGCGGCGTCAACTTTCATATAAAATGCCTATTGGATCCTGATTCCTTATTCCATTTCAAAACAACGCGTAATATTGTAAACAATTGAAATAACATATATGGTTTACATTATGCCAGTACAGTATAGTTGTGGCGTTTAAAATGAACACTGGCATATTAAACACTAACTGGCGCCAGTGACCAAAACGCCAGGCTAGCGCTACTGTCCTACTGTAGTGGCATTATGTAAACCAGGCAAAAAGACCGAAAGGCCGTGTATGAAATTTGATTTTTACGACATTTAGGCTATCGGCTGGAATCAAACATAAATGTATCAGATACTGTTAGAAAAACGTTGTAATATTGATTTTTGTAAATATTTAATTTAATAGTTTTAAAATCTCACAAGGTAACGAAGAGACAAGTATCCAAAGCATAGGTTTATTACGTTTTTTTTACAATAATGACAGTTGTTCAATGCTTTCAGCGCCATCTGTAGGCTAGTAACTTAATTTAGTTTAGCGTAATGGTGGTGATTGTAGAGAATATTGACAAACTGCATTATTTTTATTTGTAGTGTTTAATTAAATAGTGTAAATCAAATTATATACTTTCGTGGCCGTGGCCATAACATGCTTTCTTATGTCGGGTTTACCTAAGACTCCTGTTTTGGTCGAGGAGGGTGGTAATCAGTGTAGAAAACGTTCACAAGTCAGTAACGAACAATCCAGCAAGAGAGCAAAATTAGACGAAATGAATGTCAATGAGAAGAAATCAAACTTCTCCTTGTTAACTCCAAACTCAAATGGCGCTATTAAGATGTCGGCGACCACGATTAAACCCGGAGTAACAACAAAGAAACTGGTTATAAAAAACTTTAAAAGTGTGTTTACGAATTTTCCTTTGCGTATAGTCATGACCTAACCTTAATGACATTTTATCGGTAAAAGTGCATAATTGTTTCTAGGTAAACCGAACCTTCCAGAAAATTACCAAGAGACAACATGGAGCAAACTCCGAGAAGCCGTGATCGCTATTCAGACATCAAAGGCTATCGCATATTCCCTGGAGGAGCTGTATCAAGCAGTAGAAAATATGTGTAGCCATAAGGTTGGTTTTACTAACTTATTAAAATACTACCTAACTAATTTGCTTAATTTCAATCGAGCCTTCTATATCTAGTTTCAGGAAAAGGACATAAAGATAATGATCCAATATTAAGTATAAACACTTGCTTATTACAACTGAATAATTGTAATCGTTTCGATGTTATGACGAGTTTTAACTATACTTTAAACTTCACAGATGGCATCACAATTGTATGTCAACCTAACAAACCTTGTTGAAGCCCATGTAAAAGCCAACATAGAACAGTTCCTCTCGGAGAGCATGGACCGCCAGGTGTTTCTCAAGAGGATGGACGACTGCTGGAGAGCTCATTGCAGACAAATGATCATGATACGCAGCATATTCCTATACCTAGACAGAACTTATGTGTTACAAAATCCTAGTATACACTCTATATGGTAAGTGAGATTATATACATCCTGAAATGAATATAAAGATGTTTTTCTAGGGTATGTATGTTATATTGTGAACTCCCATATCTAAACAGGTAAATAATAAACAGCATTGAGGTACTCCACAATGCATTTGTATGTTTGGTATTCTTTTATATAACAAATATGATTATAATGATAAGATTGTATTGAATATGGATGTTGTTACAGGCTTACATCCTTATACTTATTTTAGAGCATATCTTTGCTTGGTGTTGAAAAGATTGGATTTTGTATTGAACATTTAACATATTTTTTATGCTAAACCTAAACCCAAATTATTATTTATAAATATTTACATAAATAAAATGGAGACAATGTTTATATTAATAAATTTCACATTTGATATAATTACAACAGGGACATGGGTCTAGACTTGTTCCGGCACCACATAGCTATGAACACGCTGGTGCAGACTCGCACTGTGGACGGCTTACTGCTGCTAATAGAGAAAGAGCGTGGTGGTGACGCCGTCGACATATCTCTGCTCAAGAGTCTGCTGCGAATGCTCTCTGATCTCCAGATATACCAAGATGCCTTCGAACACAAGTAATATGTTGCACGATTAGTCTACAAACAAGCACAGATACAGACACTGGACATACCTTTCTTTTTATTTGTTAAAATTACAAATATTTATCCCCAGCCATGTATATAGTCAACCCTAACTTAGGGTAGGATCAAAGTCCTTTGGTGGGGTTGGGTGGCATTCGGATCGTTTAAATCAGTTAACCTGCAACTTCATTAGTGTGTTCATATTACAGCGACAACTTACTAGTATTAAAAACAGTGTCTGTCTATACCGGGCAGAAGAGACAAGCAGCTTAGATGGTGTATGTTATAAGTTAAGAGTTCATTGTAACATTTTGCAGGTTCCTGCAAGCAACGGAGCGTCTGTACGCTGCGGAGGGCCAGCGGCTGATGCGCGAACTCTCAGTAGCGCAGTACCTCGCTCACGTCGAGAAGAGGCTGAAAGAGGAGAATGAGAGGCTTCTACACTATCTAGACCCATCTACTAAGTTAGTATACTGTTTTCTATTGCATTCTTTGTTTGAGGCAATAAATGTTACCAGGTTGCTAGTGATTAAAAATAATTACAATAAATGAACTGACATACAGTTATACTGAAATGATATTGTTATTTGTGCTGAGCAAAACTAGTTAAGGATAAATACATATTTAACAATAAGTGAATAATTTTAAAAATAAAAGTGACTTTTTCATCAGTTAAATTGTCAGAGATATGTGTGTTTTAAAGGAAGAGAGTTGCAGACTACTATAAATTTGATACAATATCAACTCAGAAGATTACATTGAAGCAAAATAATCTTTATACTCTTTTCAGATGGCAATTGATCCACACAATAGAGCGACAGTTGCTCAGCGAGCACCTCTCTGGAATACTGACTAAAGGCTTGGAGGCTCTCATGGACGGACCCCGGCTGTCTGATCTCACCACATTGTACAATCTCTTCAGCAAAGTCAAGGATGGTCTCAATGAACTGTGCAACCATTTCAATGCATATATCAAGGTAAGATTTTCTTATTTGGTTTAATTAGGAGAAATTAAAATGAAGAGTTTATTTTTATAAATATCTTAGTGAACAATTTATAAAGATAAATAATATTAAAATAAATTGGCAAAAATATGCATATTACAAATTATAATAATAAAAAAATATGTGATGCAGAGAAACGTATTTCCTCGAGAATGTCCTCTTTTCTTCCATTCAGTAACAAATTTCGAAGTAGAAATTAGTAAAAATATGACAATTTCAGTTTATAATATTGTGATAATTTTCAACCTTTTTAGAAAAAAGGTCGCACAATAGTGATAGAGCCCGAGCGGGACAAGACAATGGTGTCTGAGCTGCTGGAGTTCAAAGAGCGGCTGGACCATGTGGTCAGCTCCTGCTTCCAGCGCAATTCAAAGTTTGTGTACTCCATGCGGGAGGCCTTTGAGTACTTCATCAACCAGCGGCAGAACAAGCCTGCTGAACTTATTGGTATGTATTTGTAATATTTGGTCATTATTTTTAATTGAAATGTGGAATTAATCAATCAAATTATTACACTTATAAACACAATTTATTTATTTAATTTTTATTTAATTTGTTAAGCTATGCTAAGCTGTAAGTTCAAACAGCGAAAAACATTACTCTCTTGTTGATCGACAAAATTAATATTATGACAAACATATAATTGTCCTATTTTGATCGTTAACCAAATGAGAAATCAACTTATTTTCCATCAAATTCAAAAAGCTTCATTAAACTTTCACTATCTTTTCCTCAGCCAAATTTGTTGACTTAAAACTCCGGGCTGGTAACAAAGAAGCGACTGAGGAAGAATTGGAAAGACTCCTTGACAAAATAATGGTGTTATTCCGGTTTATACATGGCAAGGATGTGTTTGAAGCATTCTACAAGAAGGACTTGGCAAAGAGACTGCTTGTTGGCAAGTCCGCTTCGGTTGATGCTGAGAAATCAATGCTCAGCAAACTGAAGCAGGAGTGCGGAGGAGGCTTTACTTGTAAACTGGAAGGAATGTTTAAAGATATGGAGTTGTCTAAGGATATTAATATCACATATAAACAGGTATGTTCATGTTTATTACATTTTTGGTTCTGACAGTTAAGAGCCTTTTACATGATGCAAGTTTTTTGCCTCTTGCCTACAATTAAATTAAAGCAAAAAATGTCTTTTATAGTCTAAACAAGTTGCTTAAAATTCAATTATTAAAGTTAAATTATGTGCGCAATTTATTGCATTCAATTATTGCTCTGTTAAGTAGAAGATAGTATGCTTAATTGGGTTCTTAATGCCTTTTTTGGTATATTTGCAGCACTTGGCTGCAAGTCAGGAGAGCGGTGGTCTGGAGCTGTCAGTGTACATCCTGACGATGGGATTCTGGCCGACGTATCCTGCGGGCGAGGTGCGGCTGCCGGCCGAGCTGACGCGCCACCAGGACCACTTTGCCAAGTTCTACCTGGCCAAGCACTCGGGTCGTAAGCTGCAATGGCAGGCCACACTCGGACACTGCGTGCTCAGGGCGCATTTCGCACAGGTAACACAAATCAATAAATTTATAATATATGTCGCTTATTTTGGCGCTTCGAAGCTCAAGATTAACCTCCAAATAGATTGCCGTTTGAGTTGGCACGTTGGGTAGTATAGTACTCTTAATCCCGACGTGCCAACTCAAATAAATTGTCTGTTTCAATTGCTAAGCAATTTTAGTACTCAAATTTGTGCATAATATGTAAATATAAATTAATGTGCATATTTGAATGTTTTCAGGGTAACAAAGAATTACAAGTATCTCTATTCCAAGCTCTCGTTCTGCTGCTATTCAACGACGGTGACAACCTCTCCTTTGAAGATATTAAAACTGCTACTAACATTGAGGTAAACATAAGATATCATTTTATGTAATGAGATTGAATGTGGATGGCTACAAGGGTAGAGGAAGACCAAAAAAAGTATGGAATGACTGTGTGAAAGAGGATATGCGTAAGAAGGGGGTAGACTCGGATATGACGGCTGATAGAGATGTATGGAGGAGTAGTACATGCTGTGCCGACCCTCGATGGGGATAAGGGCAGGTTGATGATGATTAGATATCATTTTATAATACTAAATAAACTTTCACTGATGAATTCATTTAAACTAACCGAGGACCGCGACTCCGACCGTGTGGATAAAAAAACGTAATTTGTAGCCTATACCAAATTTCAGCAAGATCCATGTCGATGTGTCCAAAGCAGTGTTTACTTTTGCAGTAATAAATATATTGTGTGTGCAGGAGGGCGAGCTGCGACGCACGCTGCAGTCTCTGGCGTGCGGCAAGGCGCGCGTGCTGAGCAAGGCGCCGCGCGGCCGCGAGGTGCACGACGCTGACCACTTCGCCTTCAACAATGACTTCACCAACAAACTCTTCCGCATCAAGATCAACCAGATACAGATGAAGGAAACTGTTAGTATCACCTATAACTCTATTCAAATATCTTGACGGTTCAAGGTTATAAGCCCTCCCCCCGCGTCCCTTTGTTCTCTACTACAACTAACAATGTGTTCTGTGCAACGACTAGTACGAAGTTAGCAGTCAAGATATCTGAAAACATTTATAAAATCTTAGACCCAATTTTCACTAAGCGACTAGCGATCGCCTTTAAAGTCCATTAGCACTGGCACGGAGGGTACTGAGTCAGGCGCGGGTAGTAGTTAAGTAGTAATAAATATACGATATTCAATAAAGAAAGATAATACTACGCATCCTTAATCTACCTAAATAAGACGTAATTTTAGTACCTGTAATACGGCATTGTATAGTCCGTATCAAGTAAGTTCGTGGTTACGGAACGTCTCTAAAACGGACGTTCACTCGATCCTTATGAGATAACGCGTTCTTTCATATTTGTATGTATTGTTTGCAGAGTGAGGAGCAGAAGGCGACAGAGGAGCGCGTGTTCCAGGATCGGCAGTACCAGATCGACGCGGCCATCGTGCGCGTCATGAAGATGCGCAAGGCTCTCTCGCATAACCTCCTCATCTCCGAACTCTACAACCAGCTCAAGTTCCCAGTCAAGGTAACAAAAACTGTCACTTTTTAAAAATAAAAACCTATTTAGACATTTCAATAGTTATACTAATGTTATAAAGGTGAAAGATTTGTATATTAGGATTTATATCCTTTTATACAAAATATATATATTTTATTTTTTTATTTGAAATTTATATTTTGAAAATGGTCAAGTAGGTTGATTAACCAGTTTTAAAAATCATCAAATATCATAGTAGGCTATATTCATTACTATATTTTAAATTCCTTGCGGACAAAGTCGCGGGCAATAGCTAGTTTATCTGTAAAGAGAAAGTCAGTGAACAAATATACAAATAGTGTAAGGATTTTACTTGTTTATAATATTTATTTGTAACTTGTTCTCAGCCCGCCGACCTTAAGAAGCGCATTGAATCGCTCATCGACAGAGACTACATGGAGCGCGACAAGGACAACCCCAACCAGTACAACTACGTAGCTTAAGAACCCCCTCCGTGACCCCCAGCACCCCCTGCGGCACCCCCCGCGGCACGCCCGGGACCCCCCGCACACCACACACGAGACATGGCACTGAAGTGACTTGTGACGCAAATTTTGTATCGTTCTGTGAACATTTTAAAAATATAAAAAAAAATTGCGGCCTGACGCCTTTGGTCGATGTTTGTAGATAGAGTTAGCTTCACGAACCGAGCTCATGGCGGCCCCGGCTTTATCAATGGATAATTATACGACACGCTAGGAAATAACGTGTGATATTAGACAATTGATGATCCTCTGTGAAACATTTATCCAAATTAACCCATACATTTTTCTATAATAGAAATAGTGCAATAAATGTTTTGCTAAACAAACATTGTTTTAACTTGTGTCTATGGCCAGCAAAATGTACACACAATATTAATTTATGTATTACAATATTTTATTTAATTTAAATCACTTTCTTAGGACATCGTCGTAGCTATTATAAAATTTTAAACCTTTTTTTTAAACTTTAGAAAACTATGATAAAAAAAAATTAAAAATAAAACAATTTTAGTCCAAATAAATTCGCTACTAAATCGAGTTTGATTCTAAAAACAATAAAAAGTTCTTTTAATAAATCTACTTATCAATAATCTTTTTTATCGTACCCAAGCTTAACCGGGTCGAATTCCCAGCTTTGTACTGTTAGGAAGAAAATCCGACACTGCCGGTGTATCGGCAAAACACTAGCCTTATGTCACTTGACGTGGTAACAAAAGCGTGCCATTCGCTCTAAGAATGCCTAAAAGTACTTACAAATAAATTCCAAAGTAATTATCAAATAGTCGGATTGTTGACGTCTTCTCTTTACGTGAAGGTTCGATTCGGCGGGGGCACAGCCAGGCCACAGGTAGCCAATATTCTATTGCATACTATATACTGCGTCTATTTAAGATAGATTAGTTTGACAATTTAATAGATGTGGGTTGAGTAAAATCGATTAAGAGTTTTTTCGATTTTCGATGGTTACTCTCATAGAACTTGCATCCACTTATCCTACATAAGTACATAAAGAAATAAGACATTAAACCAAAAATTGCGGCGTTGACGAACAAAATGTTTTTTTATTAATTGTGCGATACATAACCAAATAACTGTAATAAATTCAAAAAGTTATAAAATACCTAAATTAAAGTACCCATTTGTTCGATTTTATTACAAGACCGATTCTCGATAGTTCACAGTTATTCGTTGTGGGCGACGGTTCGACACTATGACAACCGTCCATTAAGTACAACATTAATGCTCATACAAAATTAATTTGATATTTTATAGGCGCCAGTTGTCAAACTAATCTTAAATAGACATACGATAGTGAACACCATAAGATCTTAAGATGCCAAACTTGTATAATTTATTACTAAATATAAGAAAGTTTTACAATATGCTGTATACAAAGGTAAGATAAGACTACTTTTCAGTTTCAAGAGGGATCACCAATTAAAACTATTTATAATTTTCTATGTCGTTTTATTTATTTACGATTGAACTGATTTTTTAAATAGAATAATACTATGCAACATCACAATATTTTAAACAAATACCTGAAATAATTAATTGTACCTTAATAATTTTTGATGTTTCCATTGTCGCAACACTTGTTTAAAAATATCGTTTTGTTGGTATACAGCAATTTTACAACAGGTGTTATGACAATGGAAACCCGTTAATTCCATCTTCCTAAGTCCAAAGTTATTGTAACAATTATGTCTTGTATAATATTTGAGCATCAGTAAAGTTTTGATAATCTAATATTATGCATTTTATTACTTTGCTCAAACAAAATCGTTATAAAAGACTACACTAGTGCGAGTTTAAAAATAATGTAAATATTAAAAAAAAACGAGCTAATACAATTGGACTAAATATAAATTCTAATAAACTAAAATTTAATGAAACATGAGACTCGTTAACTGTACATTAAATACAACGGGACAATCTGTAAAACCTATATACAGTATGTTTTAATTCCATTAGACTATTCCATTATTATTGTTGGGATATTTATTTGTCAGAAATTCTGAACACCCTGTCCAAGTTGTCTTTATGATAGTCCAGTTCATCTGTCAATGCGGTGGCGAGCGCTTTCGGTGTGATCTCCATACCCAAGTAGTCTCGTAGAAGTTTCTGATAAGGAATAAACAAAGGTTTTATTATTGCATGTGAAGTCAGAACATAGACAAATAGATATTGCAATATCCAACCAATCTTCAGTTACTTTCATCATAGGTTGCATTCAAGTAATTAACCGTGGGTTTCCGAGACCAAAATCCCCGTTTAAAATATATTATTAGCTCTGTTTTTTCAAAGATAATGAGAGGGATGACAGTATGTTTTATACACAGATTTTTATCTCAGAAACCAACGCTAAATGGTAATGTGCTTTAGCGATCAACTAATAACAAGTATAAGATCCAAAATCCAGTCTTCCTGATACATAAAATCGTGTCAAGGTCATTGAAACTTATGTAATTAACATTCACGTACCTGTGGAGGCTTCGCCCCGCCATGTCGCAGCACGCCGTGCCGGAAGGCATCTCCAGCTTGTCTGTTGAGTGGTTGTGTCGCGAACTGTCCGCTCCAGGCGCCCCAGGCCGCCGCGCGGGAGATCAGGTACGAGTAGTACTTCGCCCCGTACCCTACCAGGTGACTGAAGCGATGCTGCCATGCCTGGTACCACAAATATAAAGACAACTTTAAATTTATGACAGCGCCCTCTTTCGGTGACCTACGATAAGTACTTCATAAAACATATCGTCATCCCTCTCTCTCTCATCTCCCTGAGAGATGTTTAACACATGCATTTTAGTCTCGAAAACCAATGATAAGTCAGTATAATATATTTGAATCTGTAATTAAATTTACAATCATAATAAACGCACCGTGTTTTCAACATAAGGCAGGCCGTAGTACTGTTTCTGTACTTGTTTGAGCACGTCTGTGGTGGAGCGGCCGAGCACCGCCTCCGGGCCGTGGTACTTCTGGTCTAGTGCTGAGTAGAATACCTGGAAATTAACATTCATACATCAAATATACTAAAATCACCAAAATAATTTTTGCATTCGCTCTAAACTAAGTTTTGAACGACTTATTTCATAGTTTCGTAGTATACATGTTTTTATGACAGTGTAAACGTATGTAGCAACCTGCAGCTGCATCTCGCTGGCTCCGAAGAGATGTTTGGAAGCGCAAAGTCGCTGCAGCATGTCCTCGGGCATGGCCTCTCGCGTCTGGAAGTGTCGGGCGAAACGCCGCACCACCTGCACACCACGACAATTAAACTTTACCTAAAACTTATTTATATGGCATCTACTTATTCTATTGTTGTTTACAGTGTTTTATGGATGCATGAGCTTTTGCCAATCGTGACGTCATAGCTATGAAATCTAAAAAAAGGTAACGTAGACCATTGGGTCGCGAGCTGTCTGTGGGTTCAAAAACTCTGATTACAAATTTATTCCACTGAGCCTATGCACCATTCCCACTTAAAAAGGTAATTTGAAATTACTATCAGTTAATTATTAGTTCGGGTTTGTATCGCCAACCGCTACTGTCAACGCCAAAATTTAGAAAATGAAATAGGCACAAAATAACACGGCATATACCCTGTCCTGTGGAATTCAAAGGTATCAGGTTTTTTGTTGTTAGACAAGTGCTCCTGACCTGCGGATCAGATGCGAAGTGTTCCAGTAGTACGCTAGGCAGCTCGGCGAGGTCCGTGGCGCAGCGCGTGCCGGCGACGTGCTGGTGCGGCGCGCGGCCCAGCATGGAGTGCAGCGCGTGCCCCGCCTCGTGGAACAGGTTGTCCACCGCGCCCGCACTCAGCAGCGCCGGCCCGCACCGGTGTCCGCCACTCAGAGATAACATTATCACCACTATTGGGTTCTGAAACAAAACAAACATATTTATTAGAGAGACAATTGTCTTTCTGTACCTCTTCTTTCTCCATCTCTACACAATTTCGCCCATCGATTCCAATCTTAATAATATAAACGCAAAAGTTTGGATGCATAGAAGGATTAATGGATGTTTGAAGGTATCTCCGGAATGGCTCAACGGATAGCGATTAAATTTTGCACATATGTACAACATAGTCTTTAAAGACGGCTAGTATTATATAAAGGAAATTTTTTATATTATTATGTTTATAAGAAATATACTCAAAAATGGACAGATTTCAAAAATTCTTTCACTATTAAAATGCTAAATTAATCAGAATAAAATAGGCTATATTTTACACTGGACTCTATAATCCTAAAGAACTGATAAGCAAATTACTTGAGACCTGGTAAGTGCCGTCTGGCAGCAGCTTGCCACCCTGTATGGTGAAGTGGCAGTCCTGGTGCGGCTTGCCGGGCCTCTCATACAGGTCGCAGTATATGTGCCCCAGCAGACCCTCATCCTCGTGCACCACAGCCAGCTTGTACACATCCGGAGACCAGGATTCACCTGCAAACATGTTTACTGTGAGTTTACACTGCGGGAACGCCCAACAAATACATATCATTGTAACAACACTATAAAGTGAAAAACATATGTAAATTATACTTTGTCAAAAACTAATAGTAGATTAAAAAAATAAATCTGTAACATTTTCTTTGTATATTTTAACTGAGACATTTTTGATAAAAGATACTTGAATAGTTCTATATCAAAACACTCACCCGGCAGCATTTCTTCAGATTTCAATGTAATTCCATACAATTCTTGACAGAGCATATTCAATCCTTCCATACATCCACCGAGCGAGAAATATGGACTGAAATCTGAATTTGCTACATTGAGGAGTTGTGTCTTCGCCTTATGAGTGTAGTACGGCGTGTCCCAGCACATCAGAGAGTCTTGGTATGGAGTTTCCTTCTTTTTCATCTTTAACATTGTATCAAAATCCATCTTTGCTCTGTCATATAGATTGTCGGACAGTATGTCGAGGAATTCACGGACATATGCTGCGTTTTCCATTATACTTGCTTTAATTGCTCTGAAAATAAAATGCAGGATATATTTTATTGCTTGTTAAAATATTTTAATGTCCTATGGCAAAGTTATTGTCATCATTATCATCAGCTCACTAAATGTCTCCACCGAGGGGCTCGGAGCCTACTCTGAGTAAGGGGTGAAGTTATTGTATACCAGCGTCCAATTTATAAAAGAGGTTATTTCAATAACACTTTACTAATATTTTTAATACATTAAATATAAAAACAGTCTCAAAATAGCAATAATGATGCATCCAGCGTAGCATTTCTAAAGTCAACTTCATTTTTACACATCTTTGTATAGAAAACATCTTAAGGTGACATATACCTGTCCGCGTAGCTCTGGAAACCGCATATGGTGGCCATCTCATGTCTGGCAGTCAGTGTTGTGTGCAACAAGCGGTCCTGCCCAGGCTCGGGCGCAAGGTACAGGCGGTAAGCAGCCTCGCGCGCCGCCGCCTCACCGCACTCTGCGTACACACCGCTCACTATCACGTTGTCACCCTCGCTACTGAAACTAAACACAAACAGAATTAAAACTTAACACACTTATTTCTTCTCAATTTATTCAAAAGTACATAGAAAATACATAAAAGCGGAGACATATTTAATGTTTATTATTGGCAAAATAGTCAAATAAAGACAAAGAATGGTCATGTTACTTACAACTGCCTGACATTCTGCGGCACAGCAGATCTGGGTACACGTCGTGGTTTTGCAGCTCCAGCCATGAAGCGCTGGCCCGTCTGCAGTATGAGGTCATTGAGCGCCACCACTCGTTTGCGAGGCTCATCCTCCAGCTGTATGCCACTCTGCTCAAAGTCAAATAAAAACAATTCTGCTAAATGCTTGTCACCGGATGTTCCCCGTCTGACTGAATCACGCAACGCTTCATATAAACCTTTGTGCGTGTTTAATCTGGAAGTAACGTAGAACAGATTTGAATTGAATATACTTGGAACATTTCAAACAAATTATGAATAAATTTGTTTAATCATTAAGAGTTGTTATGTAAAAGATTAATTTTTCAAGCTCTACTTTTCATTATTTGTTGCGAAAAGTTATAAAAAGCAGACAATATAAGTAGAATCAGGTAGACTATTTCATATTTTTTAAATCCATACTTTTCCACAACTCCACTGATACTGATACATGCATCTTCAGCAGCACTCGCAAAGTGTGGTTGCGGATGAGCAATCCTAACAAATTCGGCTAAATCTGCTACTTTGCACAATGTATCTGAGAGCTCATCAAACACTTCCACCATAGGCCTCGTAGGACCAGATATTGCTTCCTCTATCAATCTATCCGTTGCTGCAATAGCCTGATCCTTCAAAGTGTAGAAGCCTTCAAAACTTGTCAGTTCTGGTTTGTTAAAAAGTCCCTGAAAATGGACAGTAAGATACATTTCAACTTACGAATAGTATTATGACAATATTGTGAAAAAGAGCCATTTTGGCAATATTTTTTTTAATATATTTCAGAGAAACTTACTGTTCTTTCCCTCAATGTATCAAATACAGGCTGAGAGTTAGGTCTTGTGTTGAAGGCAGTGGCCAGCGGGGACCAGGTGCTGACTCCTCGTGACACCCTACGTTTTCGACCATATCGCAGCACTGATATTGGCTTAAACAGCTTCATGGCCACATATATTAATCTAAAAATAAAAAGAACGAAAACAGAAATTTAACAAGTTCATTACACTCTACATTTATATTTGAATTTAATAGTTTCATACTGCAAAAGAATTTTAACACAAAGAGATTTGATATGCATAAACAGATAGCTGTTATGATTCCTTTCACTTTTCTAATCAAGTAGCGACACTTAACTTATAATCATATACAATGTGAAATATGATTTGAACTTGGTTCAATAAGTTTAAATAATTAACATAAAGTTTAAGTTATATCGTACCTGATGGATAATATATATGGTAAAACATTTAATAGAAACTATATATTTCTATAAAGAGATTCTGAAGGTAACCATAAAAGTACAGGTAAAGTTAAGTATTTAATTCGACTTACCAAGTGCTATTGTTGGATACTTGAATGCTGGCTATAATCAAACTTTAAATCGGTTACAATTAGAAAAATTATAGGAACTTTTTCATATAAAATATTGTAAAAACCTACTGCATTCGCATTTCAGTGATATTGTATGACATATTTAAGTATTATTTGATAAGATTGTAAGATATTTTTATCTCATAAATGTCATCTCTGTGACAGTTCTTTATAAGTATTCCAAATTCCACTTTCTGTGCGATTTGTGTTCAGTAAGACTGTAAAGTACCTTGAACTTGAATTACCTTAGAAACTAACCCGTAAAATATTAAAAGCTATTAGAAACATTTTGTCTCGATAACATGTTGTTTTGAATTTTTCTGGCTGAACAATGTCGTAACTTTTGGATTTGTCCCACTATAAAAAGCTAAACGTCAAAGCGAACTGTCAAGACCATGCCCAAATGTCAAAGTAATTGCGACGGAAAAGGGGAAATGTTTTTAATTTAGATATTCTGCTAATTAATTAAAAATGACATGTTGGAATATATTTGGCATTAATTAAAAGACTTTTTTATTTTTGTTTCTCCCACATGCAATTAATTCGGCGCACGTTTTACAACAATGGTTAGAATTTCTAATTCAATATTCATGTTTTGTTTGTGATCAACAGTAATTATTTCTTTGGTTATCCAGTCCACCCCTCTACCACCGCAACAGCAACGTCGTTCTGCTGGTGAGAGTAAAAAATGTACACCACCGTCAAATATACTTACAAGAAACGGTGCACGAAAAGCAAAAATCCAAACAAGAGCTATGTCTGCAGGTGCTAAGGTTATAACCAGTATTTGTTTAAAATAAGCAATTCATAACACATAAAACATCATACTAGTATGTGTTTAAATTAAATTTTTAGATTTTATTAAAGTATTGTTTTTTGCAAACTCCCGTATACACACAAATACATTTAAGTTAAAAGCATAAAATTATAGTATGCGTAAATAGAAATTTATTATTGTTTACATAAGATAATTTCAGTTTAAACAGTCATATATGTTTATCATTGTTATCAGACTTGTTTGATAGTAGGTATAATATAACTGATGTTATTTTCATATTGTAGCCATCTGCGGTAGTTATTGCTGCAAAGAAGAAGAATTTTAAGAAGAAACAAACTATTGATACACTGTTAAAGGACTTTTACCAAATTGTAAGTCAAATTTTTAATTTTTTCAAATATTCATAATTTAATTATGTACTTTAAGTGTTTAATTTCTTACAAAGTTATTAAATAAATTAATTTAATTTACATGAGCAATTGTAGTTAAAATTTCTTATAAGTATATTTATATTTTGTTATACATAGAATATTGTTGTTTTTTCTGTTAATTATAAACAGGCAATGGATTCCAAACTTAAAGTCAAGGGTCCAACTGGCCTTGTAACGGAGCCTCGTATGGCAGAGCACAGGTGTCTGTGGGATGACAATTATCCAGAATGTCCTGAAAGATTGATTGAAGTTTTACAGAGGTAAGTTTATACCATTTTTTTTTAATTAATAAAGCAATTCATAAATTTGTTACATCCATCCGCATGTAATTAAAAAGAAAATTAGAAGCCTATATGTCCTTTCAGACTGTATCAATACCAAATTTCACTGAGATCCATTTCGTAGTTCGTTCGTAGAAATACCTAGTAATAGTAACAAACATCCATCCATCCATTTAAATTTTTGCATTTATATCATTAGTAAGAAATAGACAAAAGACAAACAGGAATATCATACTAAAGTTTTCTTGTAGATGTCGTGAGTTGAATTTAATAGAGCAATGCAAGCAGTATGCACCAAGAGCTGCAACTAAAGAAGAACTTCTCACCCTACACTCACCGTCTGTGTACGAAACTCTGGAGGCTACACATCAAAATAACGATATTGAATATTTAGAAGAAGTCTCCTCAAAATATGATGCTATTTATATACATCCTGTGAGTATATACATGCTTCTGTATATAATTAATATTACATAAACAATAATCTTGATAACAGGGATTAACATTTCTCTCACACACACATGCAAGGATTATAAGTAACTTACTTGATTATGTATGTTGAGTTGGGTAAATTACTTATGTACAAAAAAATGTATGAATAAATGTTAAATGAATTTGGCTTTCAATTTGGCTGCCAAATTTGATGTGCATTTTGAAAAAACATATCTGCATAATGTTAACATTTTATCTATGAACACATCTTAGTGTTATCATCAATTTAAAGTTAATAATAAGCGTATTTAAGGGGAATTCCTCGTAATGTTTTGGAAAATGTTATTTTTTTAAGGCTTATCAAAATAGCATTTATCTAATCACAATTTTTATTTATGTCAAAATCTCTCAAATTTTATGCAACTTCCTTATAACGAAAAAGTTAACAAATGAAATGTCATCCTAATAAAGAACAATAACGTGATTTTTCTCATGTTGAAGTGCATACTTTGATCTCTACTTTAATAAAAATATTAAATTAAAAAAAAACTAGCTGTAGCCCGCGATTCCGTACGGGGTTAAAAAAAACCTTATATTATAGTAGTCTATGTGTTCTTCCATACTATGCTTTATACCTATGCCAATTTCAATGAGATTTATTGAGCCGTTTTTGAAATACCTTCTAACAAACATCCATCCATCTAAACTGTGATTTTTTCTGGTATTCAATTTGGAATCTCCGCTTCTTATAGAGTACCCACGAGCTAGCGTTACTCGCTGCTGGTTCTACTATCGACATGGTAGACCGTATTGTAAGTGGTGAGGTGCAGAACGGTGCGGCACTGATCCGTCCGCCAGGTCACCATGCCATGCGCTCTGAGCCCTGCGGATACTGCTTCTACAATAACGTCGCGCTTGCAGCCAAACATGCTATTGATAATAAAGGACTCAGTAGGTAAGCAAACAGTGTACACGGATTGTTTTTAGAAGTGATGCTGTACATATCTTAGAAGGAATTCAAGGAATGTGTGAAATCAACCCGCACTGGGCCAGCGTTGACTATGGCTTAGTCACTCTTAACTTAGGGTAGGCTCCGAGCCCCTCGGTGGGGACGTATAGTGAGCTGATGATGATCCATAATTTCAGTTTTTGAGTGGCGATTTTTGAAATGCGTCTCTGTATGCGGACTTAATGGTGGACAATGCTCTTTGAACTGTTTTATGTCAGTGTATGTATTTGATGTAAAATTATGTTGTGTACTTTGTCATTCAGGATTCTGATAGTTGATTGGGATGTACATCACGGACAAGCCACACAGCAGATGTTCTATGAGGACGACAGGTATATACTTTTACTATAGCATTTTAAATTGTCATGTTATGGAAATAAATTGCGTGCATACGAATAATATGATTGAACCTCGCCCAAAAATAATACTACCGAGATGGTTGTTATTGTTTGAAGTTTATTTAGAAATAATCCTAATACGAACATTGCTTGGCAATCGTTTTTCCCTCTTTGAAGAGACTGCCGAGCGTTGTTCATACGATTTCGGATGATGTCTAAATGAACCTTTATGTATGGTTTCACAAATTAACGCAAATATACAGGGTGGTATATTTCTCTATCCATCGTTACGAGCATGGTACATTCTGGCCGAACCTGCGTCAGTCTGACTTCAACTACGTGGGCGAGGGTCGCGGCAAGGGGTACAACTTCAACGTGCCGCTCAACAAGACCGGCCTGGGCGACGCAGACTACCTCGCCATATGGCATCAGCTTCTCATGCCTATGGCTTTGGAGGTTAGTCATCTAATGGAGACAAAGAACAAGATTCATTTTATATACAACTAGCTGTCGCCAGCAACTCCGTCCGCGCTTGGTTAAAAAAAATCTGAATTAGTAGCCTATGTTTTCTTCCAAGGTATTTTCAATACGTATGCCAAATTTCAGTATCCTTGCAGTCGTTCTCGAGATACCTTTAAACAAACAACCATCCATCCATCCATTCATCCAAGCATTCACATTTATAATATTTGTAAAATAAAAAAAAAATATGCTACCGTTAAAAAACTAATAGTGTGTTGCCAGTATTATTTAAAAATGCAGAAATAAATTATAACATTATGAAGCTTTTTACATTTTATGTTATGTGAAATGAGTTCTCAGACAAGTTTGCGTTTAATTTCATATTTTTTCAGTCCTAAAATTACGCAATCGAAGTTTAAATAATGCCCCAAAAGAGTATTTTTTTTTCAATAGTTAGTTTTGTTAACAAAATATATTTTCCCAACGACGACAGTACCAACCGGAGCTGATAATAATATCTGCGGGCTACGACGCTGCCATCGGCTGTCCTGAGGTATTACTTTTCTTTTTTTATATCTCTCTTTCAGTACCAACCGCAACTCCTCATTGTTTCCGCGGGATTTGACTCTGCTTTGGGCGATGAAAAAGTAAGCCAATATCATAATATCAAATAATCATTATGGACAGAGAACATTTTAGGTCCGTTTCGTACAATTTTACTTGACCTTGAAATATTCTGAGCCTGACTAAAAATCATAATACGTAACCCACGTATAGGATTCTAATAATAAAGAAATTATTTACGCCATCAGATTTAAAAAAAAACCTCTTCATAATATTGACTAGCTGTCGCCCGCGACTCCGTGCAGAAATAAAAAACCTAATTTAGTAAGCTATGTGTCCTTCCAGACTATGTTCTATATCTATTCCAAATTTCAACGGGATCCGTTCAGCTGTTCTGGTGATATCTTCAAATGAACATCCATCCATCTAAACATTCGAATTTATAAAATTATTAAGAAAAAAGATGTAAATTATATTTCGATATGGACTTCAAGTTCATATTGAAATATCCCCTACCATGGTAATCCAGGGTGAGATGCAAGTGAGTCCTGCATGCTATGCGAGCCTGCTGCACTTACTGATGTGCGTGTGCCCCGCGCTGTGCGTGGTGCTGGAGGGCGGCTACTGCCTCAGCTCGCTGGCTGAGGGCGCCGCGCTCACACTGCGCACGCTGCTGGGACATCCGCCACCAATGCTCATGGAAACTGGAGAGCCTAGTGACTCGTTAGTATACACATCTGTAGGAAACATACAATAGTTAACTTAAAAAATCAAAAAGCCAGGCTAATATAATTTGAGATCATCAAATATAGTGCCAGTATCCAAGTTACGTTGCTAGGGGGCGTGTGTTCGGTGGGAGATAACAATAAGTCAGTCGACCTATTTTTTAATTGTTGTGTAGAACTCCAATACCTAGTTTTATCCCTTATTTAGGTAACCATTCTAGTTTTGTCTCTACTATAGTATGATTATTTTTTTTTAAACTTGTCTAATAGTTTTTGATTTTTTTTCCTTACAAACATAAAAATCATCTTTGAAATATTAGATCGATTTCAGAAGATTTTTGTAATAATTTCCAGGATACGCGAATCAATATTAAATTGCATCTACGTGCAGAAGCCATATTGGCGTTGCTTCAAGTATCAGCCTACGTATCATGTAGGTAACGTACTGGATATCAGCGGGGAAGAGAAACAGAAGCATATAGTTGTCCATAAGTGGGAGGGAGATGAAACTAGACCTGACAAGTTCGCTACTAGAGACTGCTATCCGATACAAGACGCTGAGACAAAGCGGAAGAATGAAGATAGATTGAATCATTTAAGGATAGGTAAGATTATTTAAATTAATTTAAAACAGTTTAATATACAGAACTGAGTTATTTCATGAAGGTAGGTTCCGTTATAGAATCACTTAGTTGTCCATCCGTCTGTCTGTCTTTCAAGACTTCTTTTTTACAGTAACGGACCTGTCATTACCTCTGCATGCTGTGTGCTACATTTATGACGAAGCTATGCTCAAGCATAAAAATATCTGCGAGCCGTAAGTGCTATCCATTTTTAATTTTCTTAATCTTTATTTTACATCTGTTTTAAAATTATCCTAGTCATCATCATCAGCTCAATATACGTCCCCACCGAGGGGCTCGGAGCCTACCCTTAGTTAAGGGTGATTAGGCCATAGTCAGCCACGCTGGCCCAGTGCGGGTTGGTTGACTTCACACATATCTTTGAATTTCTTCTCAGATATGTGCAGGTTGCATCACGATGTTTTCCTTCACCGTAAGAACGTCGGATAAATGTACATATGTAAATCGGAAATCGAAAAACACATTGGTACATGGCGGGCTTCGAACCCAGGACCTGCAGATTGCAAGACGAGTGCTTGACCGCTGAGCCACCGACGCTCTATCCTAGTAACTTTCGTTTAATTCTCCAACTAAACAATATATTCAACAAAAAATTTAATATAGGCTAAAAAAAACCAAAGTATCAATTCGACAATTTTTTTATCGCTTATCGCGTCTTTTAGTTACAGCTCAAACTTTTCGTTTTATCTTTTGAATGTTACGCAAATTTATAATTGTATTTTATACTGTATTTATACTGTACAAATAAATTTTTAAACCAGTGATCATGTGGAATGCCCCGAGCGTATAATGCGTATCCACGAGCGTCTCCGCGACTTCGGGCTGCTGCAGCGTCTGCACCCGCTGAGTGCCCGCACAGCCGCAGACCACGAGATACTGGCCGTGCATACACAGAACCATCTAGATAGGTACACCACCAGATAACCTTGATCCACATCTCTATAAATTGTCCGATTTAAATGCGTCTGTTGGTGTTACTTACAGCTATTTGTTCCAATCCTCACCACCGTTAGCATACGTAACCGTCAGCGTCATGGTGAAAATCAAAAAGACACGAATTACCAAGGTTTATAGCCTCTCCATGTATAGAAACCAGTGACCTTGACCGAACGAAGACGTCAAACGTAAAAATGTTCTTTTTAGTCCACTGTTTAATAGTGGATAGGGGAACGTGGTTTTCAAGGATTGGTTCCTATTTTTAACACTATTGAATAATATTTTTTTAAGTATTTGAGCGAGTGGACTGTATGATGGAATGAAAGGCTGGTTGGTTGCTGATTGTAATACGATGAGAGATATATGTACAATATAGATTAATATGATTGATGTGTCGGCGCACGGAGTGCTGAAGCGCAAAAGGTAGATGCAGAGTATATTTTTTTTGTTAACGCGGGGAATGCGTTTATGCACTTCGCCGTCCGTGCTGCGGGGGCAGCAGGGACGGTTTCGTGTGGGACTTCCGGCCTGGGAACAAGACCGGACTACCCACTAAACCCCGCGGTGTTCTCCTACGCCCAACCGGACCGTGGCATCTACGTTATCCACGGCCCGGCTAGGGGGGAGCCCGTTGGTAGGGGCTCGACTCGTGTAGGGAGAGGTCATATCTTAGACCCCTCCCTAGATGCAGAGTGTATGGTGCGCGGGGCGGTGGGGCGGCGGGTGGTGTCTGTAAGGGACCACCGCACTGCTGCCCCGCCGGAGGTGCAGTAGTACCAAACAATTTCTCGATGTTAAAATATTGTTGGACATTGTATTTTAGATTAAAAGAGCTAGCGACAACCAAACTACGCTTTCTAAACACCCAGAAAGATGATTACAACTCGCTGTATTTCCACCCGGATACGCTGGAGAGTGCAGCTGTGGCTTCAGGCTGTGTTTTACAGGTCAGAAAAAATTTCAACATGTGTATACTAATTTGAACCTTATATCTATAGATAGAAGACTCAGTATTGACTAACTGTTGTGTATTCGTGGTGCATCCTGACTTGAACCTTATTCCTTTAGATAGTAAATTAAATTAAGACTAACGTTGCCTGTGCGTATGCTAATTTGAACCATATCCCAATAGACGGTAGATGCAGTGTTGACTAAAGTGGCCGGTGCTGGTGTATGCGTGGTGCGTCCGCCGGGACATCATGCGGACGCGGACGTGCCGAGTGGGTTCTGTTTACTGAACAACGCGGCGATAGCGGCTAAGTACGCGGCGCAGGCGCACGGTGTCCAGCGACTGCTCATACTGGACTGGGATGTACATCATGGGAATGGCACGCAGAACATCACTTATGATGATAATAAAGTAAGTTAGCAGTCTAAGTAAAACTTATCAAGTAGCCTATGTGTTCTTTCAGACTATGTTTTGCGTTTGTCCTAAATCTTATCGGAATCCGTTGAACTGTTCTGGAGATAACTTCTAAAAACATCCATCCATCCATACATCTAAACTTTCACATTTATAATATTAATAACATTACTACACTTTGTTCGTTGGTCACTAAGGATGACCCTTAGTGTAGATTTCTTATACTTAATTTATATAATAAAATAAAGACAAGAATGAAAAAATAATTGACACATGTCAAAAACTTGTACTTCAACTTGACATTGACATCTCTATATTTATGGTCAATAGATAATGAAATATTCAACCTCCTTAATATAGGTTTCTTAATATTTTTAACAATTGTTGTATTGCAGATTCTGTACATGTCGATACATCGGTATGACAACGGCACGTTCTTCCCTCACTCGCAGGAGGCGGACTACCGCGCTGTGGGGGAGGGCAGGGGGGAGGGGTACAATGTCAACATTCCCTGGAATAAGGTACCTTTATACTGGATTTTTTATAAAGAAAGGATAGGATACGGATGTGATGGAGGAGGGGATGCATAGTAAGGGGAAATTTTATCTGTGTATATCTTCTCCTCTGTCGATTAAAGGTAGGCAGTTGCAATTGCAGACTGTAGGTAACGCTTCGCCATTTTGGCGAATAAGAATTGCAATATATATAATTTCCAATACATTATTATAGATACATCAAAATTCACTCAAATTTGATCTCTATTGCATGAGAATAAAAAAAACTTGTTAAAATTTTCAGTATTGTGTTATGTAAGTTATTGTATTGTATTGCAGCGGGGTATGGGTAACGTGGAGTACATGGCGGCATTCACACAAGTGGTGCTGCCCATCGCATACGAATACAATCCGGAGCTGGTGATTGTGTCTGCAGGGTTCGATGCTTGTATCAATGATCCACTGGGAGGTCAGTTTTAACAATTAACTCTTCTTAAATACATTTCATTATCATCAGCTCACTTTCCGTCCTCATCGAGGGACTCGGAGCCTACTCTAAGTTAGGGGTGACTAAGTCATAGTCAATGCTGGCTCAGTGCGGGTTGACTTCACACATATCTTTGAATTTCTTCTCAGATATATGCAGCATCGCGATGTTTTCCTTCACCGTGAGAATGTGGGATAAATGTACATATGTAAATTGAAAATCAAAAAACACATTGGTACATGGCGGGATTCGAACCCAGGACCTGCAGCTTACCAGTCAAATGATAAAACCCTTGAGCCACTGACGCTTTATAAATACATTTACTATGCAATATTTAGAAAATAAAGTAAGAAAGTACACAGTTTTGTAACTCCATAAAGAATGTTCAATTCAATTAATTAGTAGCTATCTTCTTCCAGACTATGTTCTATATCTATGCCAAATTTCAGCAAGATCCGTGCAACTTTCTGAAGATACCTTCTAACAAACATCCATCCATCCAAACATTCGCCTTTATAATATTAGTAAGATTTAGATCAGCATAATCTTATATATAAAATTCTCGTGTCACAATTTTCTTTCCCATGCTCCTCCGAAACGGCTTGACTGATTCTCATGAAATTGAGAGCATATTGAGTAGGTCTGACAATCGGCCAACATCTATTTTTCATCCCGCGCGGACGAAGTCGCGGGCGACAGCTAGTAAATTAATTCTGATTTCAATTGAGATGCTTTTAAAGCCAAAAAATGTAAAATTGATTTTGTATCACCAACAGGTTGTAAAGTGTTGCCAGAATGCTACGGACGGATGACACAGATGCTGAAAGGATTAGCGGGAGGTAAGATTATCCTCTGCTTAGAAGGTGGATATAATATTGTGAGCACTTCGTACGCTATGACAATGTGCACCAAAGCCTTACTCGGAGATCCAATAGAGTTTAATTACAACCCAGAAGAAGAAGTCCACTGGTCCGCTATTGAAACTATAAATAACGTCATCAAAACTCAACAGAAATACTGGAAGAGTCTCAAATTCCAACTAGCCCTACCTATAAAGAATATTCTAGACAAACCATCACCTTCCAGAGGCTTGGTCATCAGTAGTCCAGTTCCGCAAAAGTCAGTGTCGAAAGTCACTTCAAAATCATCCAATGGTCTACAGTCATTGGAAAGTGATATGATGAATTTGACCATAAACAAATGCACGGATGGTATACACTGTGGTACTGATGATGAAGAAGATAACCGCACAGATAAAAATGCGGGTTGTTCCAAATCTTCCGGTGAGGGTAGTTCTAAAAGTGCCACAGATAAAGGTAAAAAAGAGAGTGAGAAACAAACACTTGTGGATTATTTATCAGAGAATATGCAGGCTCTGGTGGATGGGGAGATGTTTGCAGTGGTGCCTGTGCCGTGGTGCCCACATTTAGATGCTCTGTTCGCTATCCCAGAGTCGGTGAAGTTTGAACAAGGCGTCAAATGTGTGGAATGCGATGAGAAGAATGAGAATTGGGTGTGTTTACACTGTTATGTTGTGAGTATAAACTTTATTTTCTTTTTTTTACTTTAATATTATACGGATGCCATGCTTTTTGAGGTCATCGAATTCATTTTTTTTATACCATCTTTAAATTTGCATAAATCTTCAACTCAGATTGTATATAGTAAAAATGGTATTAATACATTTAAGTTAACTTGAATAAATTATTATTTAAGGGATGATTTCACTAAATAGTTAACTGGGCCAGTGGAAATAGGGTCTAACTTATAATTTGTTCCAGACTGCATGCGGTCGCAGTATAAACGGTCACATGCAAGCGCACCACAGAGCAACGCAACACGCGTTAGTCCTCTCCCTGCTCGATCTGTCCGTGTGGTGTAACGTGTGCGACGCGTACGTCGACAACCCACTGCTCTATGACGCTAAAAACAACGCACATAAATGCAAATTCGGCGAAGATATGCCCTGGTGTTATAAAACAGATATACATATGACATAATTAAAGTCGCCTGGCTCATGGACACCCGGACGCCGGATAATAAAGGCGCCCGGGCGCCGGTATATAAAGGGCACCCACTAACGTACTATTTTTAGGCGCCCAATATGTTAATACGGCCCTGGTATCTTGAATAATATGTATTATAATAAAATTCCAATTTCGGATTTCAGCTATATTTAACTTACTAGCATTATATTTACATTTATATGTACAGTCGAACCTGGATAAGAGTCTAAGGGACCACGATATTTTTCTCTCATATAGAGAGTTCCTTTCTTTCAAGTTTCTCGCTTATGGTGGTCGCCTCCAAAACAGAATAACGCCTCTCGTTTGTCCCAGTCTTGCTTATACAGGCTCTACTGTATTTATATATAAATAATTAAATTTTTCAACTAATAGTATAATTAAAATTAGTCATTTTAAAGTCAACTAAATGCATTTATATTTTTAACAGCATACCTTAGAAAAGGTATCCTATTGTTACTAGCAACGATGTCTTCAATATCTTTATTGATTAATTATAAAAAACTCGCACAAATGACTGACCTAATCGATATAAAAATTTAAGTAAATAAAAAATGTATAAACAAAAATTCCGATTGAATCTATATGCACATCATATCCCTAAGATATCATATCCATACATTTGGATAAGTCGGATAAAAAAAAGTTAATTTTTAATATGACTACTGCAAAGTATTATAAAATTAGTGTTTTTAGTATTTTTTGTATAAAATTTAAAAAAAAAAATTTAGCAATTAAAAAATACGCAATTAAATTTTTATATTAAATTCATTTTAATTGTGACATTGGTATAGTATTTATCAGATATCTTGGTGGCTCTTAAATTCGCGCACAGAACACAATGTCATTTGTAGCAGGGAATAAAAGGATTCATTTGAAAAGAACTATACCAATCTACCAATAATGCAACTTTAAATTAAAACTTAGTAAACCTGCCATATTTATTTTTATTGAACTTTTATAATATAAAGGCAATGAAACCGCCCTCTTTATTTCTATTAGTTTATATTTATTTTATTATATTCTAATTATTTAACTTATTTTTAATTCTTAACTATAAGATGCATTAAATTATATTGGCCAGTTATTTTTTAATCGTATTGATACATTTAAACTAATTTAATATCATTTTTTATTATTTAAATTTCATAGTATAGACTTACACAAATTAATTAGATTTGGTCTCATTTTAAATCGTTTTTCCAAATTGTGAACAGTGAACATTATATTGTACAGTCGAACGAGGATAAACGAGAGTAAGAGACCGGACAAAGACGCTCGCTTATAGAGGTTCGACTATCGACGGCAATTGTATAAATGAACAAGACATAACATACTGTTTGTTTATGAGTTGGTGCTTTCTTTAGTCTACTTATTTATTATTTCGTATACATAAATATTCATGTCTAGTAGAATAGCTCCTGTAATCAATTGCTAAAAAGATTAACTAAATAACTTAGGTCACTTTTTAAATACTAAACTATCAGTGAAAATTATCAAAAGTAGCTTAGTGGTTAATAACTTAGAATTTAAGTCGTGGGTCCTGGGTTTGATTGATACTCAAATTCTTTGTTTTATAACAAGAATATATCTTGTAGTCGGTTGTGGCATATGGTGGTCTATTGTTACTTTTGGAATCCATTAAAGTTGTATGTACTCTTTAGCTAATGTGAATTTGTGCATTTTTTTAATCAGAACCAGTATTAATGATTAAACTATTACGGAATTATTTTATGTACTTTTCGCTACTTATCTAAATTTTATGTAACTAATAAAGGCATCATAAAACAGTATTCGATTATTTTTTACCTAAATTGTACAAAAGAATGAAAATTTTATGCGATTCGGTAAACATTACATACCAAACAGCTTAAACAATGATTTGACGCATCAAAATGTGAATTTAAGGGTAAATCAACAAATAACAAACATGTTTAGAACTGACCATCATTTTTGCCTTTTTTTCATTAAGCAACACCTTAATGTTTGTCTTGCGCAAAGAGTATATAAAATACGTATCTTCTTGCGTATTAAGTTGACAATTGGTTGTCAAACTTGTAATTTACATTTACCTGTCACTGTCATTTCTTAATGAAAAATGTCCAATTGAATTGAAAACTTCCGTTTTTAAATGGAATAAATTCATTTCAATGGACTATATACCTTCATTCAAACAATATCAACATCCTCGTCACGTAGCACCAAGATAAAATGTTTTTAAAAACGGAAATATTTAAGGCTATTTCATTCAGAAAACCCGTAACACTACCTTTATCGTATTGGTTGTTAGTGGTTACAAGATTTGTTTTAACTTTACTACCGCAGTTGGGCTACATACATCCTGATGAATTCTTTCAAAATGTGGAAGTTATTGCCGGTAAGGAATTGTAATACTTAACTACTATAAATATTTAATAGTAATATTTAAATAATCATTTCCGAGACTGAATATATTAACAAAAACATTTTTTATTCGTTTATTCAAAAAAAATTATGAATTATTGTACAAACTATTGACTTTATGAAATATCTATGAATCTATGATTTTTTTATACTATATTAATACTATTTAACTAAAAGAAAATGAGTTATTAATCTAAATGTTAAAATAAATGTAGTGTGTAAATGTAATTAATTTTGTAACTTTTCAGGTGATATCTTCACAATTGATGTTGCTAGAACATGGGAGTTCAATCCTAAGTTTCCAATCAGAAATATGTTTGTACCAAAGATGATTCTTGGATTGCCGCTACTTTTCATAAAAGTCTTGAATCCATACACAAAAGCCTATTTTAACATTGATTTACAAACTCCATATTACTTGTTGACTATACCTAGACTCTTTATCTGTCTTCTTTCTCTGGTAAATGATTATTGTTTGTACAAAATATGTGTTCTATATGGTCAAAATTTTAGGAATAGACTAAAAATATTTGCAAGTTCTTATGTGGTATTTGTCTATTGTTGTAGAAGTTTTTCCAATACATTTGAAATGATATTCTTCTCCTTACTACTTCTATTAGTTGCCGAATGTATGTATAAATCAGATAAAGTTATCTATCATGATGAATTCCTGACTGAGAAATATAAACAGGCAGAAACTCCAGTGGAGAAAGTAAAAATTTTTAAACTTAAAACACATTTGCCTGAACATTCCTTAAATAGGGTATTTATTCTTGCAAGTTTAGTTGTAATTGGTATATTTAACCGTCCAACATTTATTTGTTTTGCTTTCGCTCCAGTTTTCTTCTGGTTGCATAGAGGATTAGGATCTAAAGTTGTTAGTTTTAAAGATTTTCATTTTAGAATATTCACATTCATGTTTTGTGGTGTACCGATGGCACTAATACTTATATTAGTTGATTCTTGTTACTATGGTTACCTGACAAGTGCAGAGGTGGAATCTCTGAAGCTATCGTGGGACAATTGGGTTGTTACTCCGTTAAACTTCCTCAGATATAACATGGATACAAGGAATCTCAAGGAACATGGGTTACATCCCCATTGGCTTCATTTGGTTGTCAACATACCCCTGTTATTCAATGTTTTGGGAATAATTGCGTTCATCACTCTGTCTGGCAATGCTTACAGGTAATTTTATTTTTATTATATATTAGCCTTTGCCCGCTACTATGACCATTTGGTTTTTAAAAACTTTACTAAGTAGCCTATGTATTCTTCCAGACTATGTTCTATATGTATGTTAAATTTCATCAAGTTCCATTGAGCTATTCTAGAGATGCCTTCCAGTAAACATCCAGCCAACAATCTAAACACATTTATATTAGTCAATTAAAATTAAACTGTATTCACTTAAATCTGCAATTTTAATTTGTTTACGTTTCTTCAGATGAAAAATTTACATAACAACTTTAATTAACAATGAAGAAAATGGTGTTGTTAATTTCTTATGCTAATTATGTAAAAAATAAAAAGACTCACTATTGTTGTGAATATTGTTTCTGTCCCCATTCACAGTATTGAATAAGTGTATTGTTTGTCATTTACGACGAAAGAATTGCATAAAATAAAAAAAAATAACAATTATTGCTTGATTAGTTTACTTTTTACTAATATTATAATGCAAATGTTTGGAGTGATGGATGTTTGCTTGAAAGTATCTCCAGAACGGCTGCATAGATTTCGCAGAAATTCGCCATAGATATAGAACACAGCCTGGAGGAACACATAATTAAGTTTTTTTTTAAATTCTCGCGGACTATTATTAATATTTTTAAACAAATAAGTGTTCAGAAAGCATGCACACTAATAGATTTGAAATATTTTATTCTGTTTTTTTCAGGTTCATTCGTGGACAGTATAGTAAATTGCCAAGAATACAAAGTATTACAGGACTCATGTTATTCTCTTTAGTAACTCCTGTGGCATTGTTATCCCTCATCCCACACCAAGAGGCAAGGTTTATCATCCCCGTTTTAATTCCCCTAATTTACCTGTACGGGAATCATCTTCATCCTAACGAATCTGATACAACGATGAAGCGAAGACTAAAGAATACTCTATGTTATACTTGGTATATAGTAAACATTTTGCTTACTATATTTTTCGGTTTTATACATCAAGGTGGAATCATTCCGTTCACCAATACCTTGCATAAAGAAATAAAAAGTTACTATGGTGTGCATACTCATGTTATTACAACACACAGCTACAGTATCCCTAGTTATTTATTACAATTGGAAAGTACAACAAAAATATGGAAAGATAAAAAAACAGGTCGCAAGTATAGATTGACTCCGACAACATTCATTAATAAATATGGGTCCTTACCAATACAGGATTTGTTTGAAAAAATAGATGACGTTTTAACTGATGCTGAAAGATTGTTACATAAATATAAAAGGCAGTATAGATTTTATATCGCATCTCCTTGCTCTTTGGAAAAGGAAATTCGAGATGTCTCTAGAATGTACACTTATATTGATATTGAACATGAATTTTCTTACTATCCGCACTTTTGTACGGAAGCGTTCCCGAAATTTCCAAATAATAGGGATCAGTTCTGTTTTGAAAGCAATCTCTTAAGAAAAAATGAATCTCAGGTTGTTGATTTAGACATTTTCCAACGAATTTCGTGTTTCCTAAAAAGATTTTGTCTTAGAATTTATCGCGTAAGGCCTTCAAACTACAAGATATAATTCACCGCCTTTATCGTATTAAGTATTTTAAAATATAATGATATTATTCAAGATCTGAAATAAAAGACATGTTGAGAGTGCGCTTTACACGCATTTTGTATTTAGTTTGTACGTATTATGGTATGTTACATTAAATTGCTCAATTGTTTTTTTTTTTGTTATGGTTATCAGTTTTTAATTGTAAGTGCCATTTTTTTGTTTTACATAGTATTAGTCATTTTCAGTGATTAGTTTTATTTGGGAAAACATGTAAAATATTAGAAACAAGCATCTTGAAGAGTCTCGAGTAACGAATTAGTAACTCTTAATAGTTGATTTTATATTAAATACTGTGTAATGTATTTACATAAAAAAATATTTTGTATTTGTAAACAGAGAATCTCATCACTTAATATGAAAAAAAATGAAATTGTGAATTAAGAAAATTCGTACTGAGTTTTTGCGGTTACTGTTATATATTGCATTGCAGAGTAATTGTTTTAAATTCAACCTTTATAAATTCAATAAATGTAATAAACACATTGCCACAAGTAATATTTTATACAATTTTTAATTTCAAATTGTGCAGCTAAATTTTGCATAAATCTTGTACACGATGATTGGAAAGTATTTCAAACCTTGTGATTGCTTTGCATATGAATAAATAATATCATATTATGTACAATAAAGATGTAAAAGCTTGAATGGAATATTTTTTTCTTCAAACATCTTTTAAAATGTACTCTGCAATAAACGGCCAAATAAAAAGAAAAGGACCACGGCTTCAGATGATCGGATACGAACACAAACATTAAAAAAAATATCATTTTCGAATAAACCACTTTTTGAGGGATAAAGTTACGTAAATGAAATAAAGAATTGTAAATACTAAAAATATACAAATTTAGAATCGACTTACACAACCGGGATTCACAGAAAAGTTAAGATCAGGAGACATAGCGGATTTACAAGCATATTTTTCCCATGTCTGGTAGAATATTCAGATTATGTAAGCACTTTACATTTTCTGGAATGGCAGCACTAGTTGGCTGCAAGTGTCGACTCGACAGCTGCTCGCTGACATTGACAGCTTGTAAACAGCTTTCGATCGGATCATTATTTTATAATTATAAATATAGTTTCAGATTAAATACAAGCTTTAGTAAATTCTTCTTATTTCTTACCAGCACATCGACTATTGCTACGTTAAATAGATTCCATTTCACGGTAGACCTAAATCGTCGTGTCATTAAAAATGGTGTTACAAGAAGATGTTCAGAGGAAGTTTGAGATGACTCAAAAACTAATGGAAATTTATGAATGGTTATTGAATATGTATCTCTTGGTAAGTGTTATAAAGTTTTACATAAATTATAATTAATAATAAGGTCACATGAACGTTTATGTATATTATATTGTCCCAGGTAAAACAATAAACAATCATGAATATTTTCCTTGGAATTCTGCGCAAGTCCAAAACGTGACTTCATAATCTATGTAAATAAAAAAAATTATAATTCATAAGAATTTATATAAGCCTACTTAGATGTTCTTAAGACTGTAGTGAAAATAAGTGACCTAAAGATTATAAAAATCCGAAAAAATATCTTTAGTTTTAGCAGTCTACTTAGATGAGCAGTAAATGTAATTTATGTCTGATGAGAAATCGTGACAATCTCCATCTTTAATAAATTAACATGATTGCAGGACTTTTATGTTGACCAGCAATGGGATACTCTTCCAGAATCCTGGTGCGAAAGTCTTCAAGCTATGGATCCCGAAGACATGGGAACCCTTCTATCAGGTGCACCAACAAAACATATGCTACCATTATCTTTTTTGTCATTAGTTAAATGTGCCCACACTTTAAGCATATCTCGAGAAAGAAATATTAACTGTAAACCTAAAAATTTAGAAGAATTTCCGCAATCCGAGATTGGTAATAATCCTAAATTAAAGAACCTGTTCTTGAAACATGTGAAATTAAAGAAAAGGCACGAAATAAATTTAATGGCCGAGATTGTTAATGAAACAGCAAAAATAAGTAATTGTGGAGCCGTTCTGGATTTTGGTTCTGGTTTGGGGCATCTCATGCGGGTTTTGAGTTATAAATACGATTTACACACAATGGGAATCGAATGTCAGTCACAATTAACAGAGCAAGCTAGGTCTGTACAATTTGCTAACATTAATCATTAAATTTTTTTTATTTATTTTTTCAACTATGGAATACTACATATTATGCATTTTGTAGTTGACTGGCATTATTATAAATATACAATTTGATATAAATACATAGAACCTCAATTAAAAACATAACAAAATATATGAAAAGTGTTTAAATTGTCCAACCTAGAACTAAAGATTTGTCTATAATTTTTATTTTTTAAAATGCTCAAGGATTTAGCCAAAAATGTTACATAGAACACTGTAGTTCCAGGTTGGTCAATTGTTCTTTTATTCTTCACTAGCTGTCGCCCGCGAATCCATCCTTAAAACATCCGTCCATCCATCTGAACTTTTGCATTTATAAAATTAGTAAAAGTTCCCGCTGCTCGTCTGCTCCCTTCTGTTATTAAAAAAAATTAGTAAAAGTAAGATATTAAGTAGTTACTACTACAGTAATAACTTGAAATTAATTGTTCCAGAACTTTCGACTTGGAACTAGAGTACACAGCAAGGAAGCATCTGTCAGAAGAGTTGATGTCTAAACTTAAGCGACCTACGCATTTAAACTTAACATTAACATCTCCTGAGCAGTTGCTTCAGCTGCCTTTAACCGCTAATATTACAGAGTATGGCTTAGTCGGTCTTCACCCGTGCGGTGATTTAGGACCGTTGTTGCTTAAACATTTTGTTAATTGTGAAAGGGTTAAGTTTATTTGCATTGTTGGTTGTTGTTATATGAAGTTATCATGCGATTCTGAACCTTATGGATATCCAATGAGCGAATATGTTAAGAAGTTGGGTAGTAAACTATCTTATAATAGCAGAGAGATAGCTTGTCATGCTATTGAGACATATTCCGAACGATTACTGAAGGGGCAATATGATTATTTAAAGGTAAGTGTACTTTAATAGACTTACAATGGGATTAGTGAACACTTTTATCTCGTAAACATTGCCATTTGATTCTCATTATTCTGTTTAAAAACAAAGATTTTGAGAAAAAAGAAAACTGACGCGTAACAAAAAAAGTCGAATTAATAACCTTTGAAATTGGCAAAAAAATCAAAAATGTTAAATTTCATAATTACTTTTGGGCATTATTAATTAGAATTCTTTGGCGCGCTTTCATTACAATGTCAAATGTCAGAATGATTAGTGAGGGGGGTGACGTAAACGTCGACATTCTAGTAAGGCTAGTGTTGCGCCGTGCACCAGCACAATGTCGGATTTTCTTCCTAACATTACTAAGTAAATTTGTTGGTGTATTTGTAGAAATTTTATTTTAGATCCATGCGTTCAGAGCTGCACTGGAGAAGGTGTTAGTGGAACATGATCCCGCATTGAAGCACTCCCCTGTTCGGAGCATTAAACACTCAAATACCATGACTTTTGAAAGGTATATACTTTTATACTAATTTTAATATTGAATTTAATACACATCAACTCTTAAATAAAATACAAAGTTTTGTCATTTGCACATCAAAATAATTCATTCTTAATCAAAATTATTAAATACTAGCTGTCGCCCGCAACTCCGTCCGCGCGGAATTAAAACAACTTAACATTTAGAAGGATGAAAAATAGATGTTGGCCGATTCACAAACCTACTCAATATGCTCACAAAATTTCATGAGAATCGGGCTAGCTGTTTCGGAGGAGTATGGGAACGAAAATTGTGACACGAGAATTTTATATATAAGATATAACTGGGTACAGTAGCGTCCGTTCGCGGTGTTCAAATTAAAAATATTACACCCATTTTGTTATTGTTACAACATTTATTCATCTTTTAAGGCTTAATTCTAATTCTGTAGATTAGAAATAAAGCATAGCAAATGGACTGCTTTATTTGACTGCTGTTAATTACTTTGGCAACAATTATAGTAATACAGTTGTAGTTATTGCAGTGCTGCGCTGTCACGGCTGGACGTAACATTGTCCGATAGCGCGGTGTGCGCGGGCGAGGCATATTTGTCGCAATGGCGGCTCGTCGTGTTGCTGTACTCACTGCGGCTGCTTCTCGCGCCGCTCGCGGAGACTCTCGTGCTTCTCGACAGAATGCTCTATGTCCTTGAACATGGTAAGTCTAATACTAACTTATGTCCGGCAGAATTTTAAGAAATCTTAATAAGTAGTCTATGATTGTATAGAAAAACATCTGGACAATGTTGTACATCTATGCCAAATTTCATCGATATCTGCTAACAAACATCCGTCCATCATTAATTTTAGACGCTTTGGCGTTGTCAATCCATTATAGAAATATTGATTAGGATATTTACGTCTGTTGTTTAGGTAAATTGTTCCTTTGTGAGCAGAGTCATAAAAGATGAATGAATTTCAAATAACATCATATAAAGGTTTTTAATAAATTAAGACACATAAATGGAATAAGTACAATTTTTACGTACAACTTATACAAGAAAACATTGATACTAAAGCAAGACTAGATATATTTTTGGCACTTACAAATTATAATCAATTACAACATAATAAGGTACTTGAAAGATTAAATTACAGTAATACGTCTAAAAACAACGACGAATAAGTACTATATGCTTTGCAAAAAAAATTGTGTAAATATTATTTTCTTAACCTACAAGTTTTAATTGGGCTATTTTGAGAGATGTGATGTCAGTTTTGGGCGAGTTCATGCACATTCTCGAAATCAGATTTTTCTTATTTTGGCTCAATATTAAAATTGTTGTTTTAGGTCTACATTGCGAGATACGGCCCGTGTTTGATCCGAAGATATCACCACGCAATCATATTATCATCGGCAGAAGAATGTAATTTTTTTCTTAATGTAATAAAACTATATGAATCATCAAATATAGTCTATGCTTAAAATTATTATGACTTTTTATCCTTATGATATCATAAAATACATAATTATAAGCTTATCGTGGCTTTCTTCAGAAAAAATAATACAAACCATTCACCATATTATCGACCATGATATAAATTAAGCTTAATATTCTGTGAAACCCTAATACAAAGTGAATTTTAATTTTAACAATGTACAAGAATACTAACTTCTCATATCCAAACTTGTGATAGTATTTACCTAACCTTAAAATTACATTAAACATACTAAAAGACAATGCGCAAGAGCATAATTTATTTTATTAAATAGTTTAAATTACTTTATTATTTTAACCCACACACTAGAGGTGAGGTGGTCGGGTGCATTACCAAGCGGGTTTTGCAGCAAGCTAAAATATAAAAAAAAACATGACTAGAAACGAGGTGAGACTTAATTTTACGGATTTCATAATCCCGATTTATGTATATTCCACAAACACTGAACACAAATATTATGTATGTAAATAGTGTTTGACTATAAGACTATAATCGTAGAATCTCACTGGTGTCCATTCATTCATATTATAGGCTCTGTATGTAAGGGATGGCAACATATAGTAAAATAAGTGTCACGGCAGTGGAATTCTACGGTTATATTTTCTCTGCCTCCTTCGTGCTATGGTCGTATACGTGTTTATAAGCCAATATCCATAATTTATTTACCGTGACGTGTACAAACACCTTATTTCAAATAACTAAAATTTGTTAATAAGAAATAATAGATAAACTTGATTAAAAAATGGTGTTTTGATTTGCTATAAAGATACACAAATTTTTGTGCGACATAAGTTAATTCACGCTGACTAGATACACTTAAGAGATTTTATTAAATATGCAGGAGTTGCAATTGTCTTGCATAAATACGGAGTCGTTGTCCGACCCTCTTGGAGAACTTATAAGAGATGTCACTATGTATCGGATAAAAAGACACATCACTTAAGAGATCTCAGGTAAGATAAACCGCTTTTTGCCATGTGTCAATAAGGTGTAGGGAGCAATCAGCACTGCATGTAGACGGCGCGTGTGAGGGTCGCGGCACGGGCGGCGCGTGCGGGGACGTGACATCATGCGGTGGCTGGAGGATGTGTTGGGGGCAACATGGGAGCGGGCTCGTCTTCGCTGTCGTCGGAGTGCACGCGCGTGAATCGCCGCCGCTCCAGCAGCCGACGCAACTTGAACTCCCCGCGTCCGTACTCCCAGCGGCGACGCGCTGCGCATTTACGACCTGCGGTTGATCGCTGATTAGTATAAAGCAATCAATACCTCCTTTTGATCCACAACACCTAAGTTAAGTAGGGAGAGGGAGAAAGTTCACATCAATGCATGGCAGCCATTACCATATTTCACCTAATTTGTGAAAACTGTGTGATACAATAAAGTATGAGCTAAAATAAAGGTAGATAATTTATGGGAGTATTCGAGCTTTATCCTAATTTGTATTTTGATTATGGTAAAAGGTTTGGATTGAAACAAGGTCTATCACAGGCATGTACAGTCATCTTCGTTCGCGGTGTTTCTGTTACAGAAATTCATCGCAACAAACTAAACTTCGATAAAATAACTAATTATATAAACTTTTGTTATTTATCCAATGTTTTTAACACTTGCCTATTGGCACACATTTCTGTCCTGAGACCTACCGTTGCTTTGTATCTTATTTAAAAAAATGATGGGGCTCTGCTGCGTCTCTAGATTTCGTTTAAATTAGTGAATTTAACAAGTATCTACTAAATGGAACACAAAAAAATTAAAAATAAAGTGCTGAAGTGAAAAAGGTGCAATATAAATAAAAAGTAAACAAAGCTGCTTCAAATAGTATATTTTTCATTTATACAATTGTTACATTCTTACAAATTACAGAAACTTAAAAATAAATGAAAGATGTATAAACAGTGCAAAACAAATCATAATAAATAAATAAAATAAAAAATTACAGTTAAAGCCAAAAAATCACTTTACAACAGGACAAAAAAATAATACAAAAATACATCAGATCAAGGACTTCAGATCAAATCAAATCCAAACTGGCATAATTTCTAAAATACAATAATTGTAATGCATCAGAGTTTGATAAAACAGTCTTAAAGTAATGTAACCTGCCGAAACACCTGTCCAAAAATATTTTTTCAATAAGAATGAAAGGGATGGAAGTTTTTATAGTATTGCTTCGGCAGTAAACATACGGTAATAAATTTTTAAACGACGAAATATGTACCTTTTAGTCTTTATTAAGTTTAGAAGCTCGATTTCTCTATAAAATTAAGATCAAAATGTCTTAGGAAAAAGTATTGTGTCTGAATGTGTGTTCTGCTAAAAACATTCCCATAAAAATGTAATCTATACAAAAAAAGTTTTATGTGAATATTTCGCCGGATTATTGTCCCAATTTATTCCAATATTGCACAAGAAATGTTATGTTATTATTAGCTTAAGTTATTTCTGATCAAATGAAAATATTTCATCTTTTTTTAATTACGGTAAGAACATTTTTAATACTATTGATAAATGTACAATTAAATAAAAAAGTTATCATGTCCATTTTAACGTAGTTATATTAAAAGATCATACGTCTGTATGTGTGTCAAATGTAAAACATTTAAATTAAAAACCATTGCAATAATGCAATTGTTGCTGTGCAAAATTATAGAAATAAAATTTAATTTGGAAAAAATATAAAATTGGATTTTTAAACGGATTGGAACGAATAGTTACACGGAACGGATCTTATTATGACCGGTCAAGGATAAATAAAATATGCAAGTACTTATTTCGTTCTTTCGTCTTATAAAAGGAGGTTAATTTTACTTGTACTTATTAGTGAATGTATAAATATATTTAAATTGTGAACTTTGGGATAAACGAAATAAATCTCGTAAAAAATTAAAAATTATACTTTAAACATTTTATATAAATGTTTAATTTATGTAAATTCGTATTGTACGCATACAACTTCTAACCTAAGCAGTTTTTAATCACAATCCCTTCTTGTATTTAGCGATGCTGACAAATTATATATTTAATTGTGTAACATTTTAATATGTATTCCAATATATTATATTTCGTATCCGGCCATTTACGTTGTGAACAAAATAAATTGCCTCGGCGTGTTTGGAGCGAGTGTACAGTCAGTTCCGTTCGCGGTATTCCAGTTGCAGAAAAATTGCGCAATCATAAAGCATAAATCATAACGAACTTAAACTCTGCACCTTCATACATAATAACAATTGGGGTGATGCTCTGAATTTCAATAACACTATACCAGTAACTATTATATACTGTGGAATACGTTATTGTTACAACATTTACCGATTTCTTTTCAAAGCATACAAGACGTTCCAACACTGGTTACCTTTAAGGTAAGATATTGCCAGCAAACCACTGTACCTAGGGCGAGTGTACCGCGTTCGTGTGTCGTGTATCTCCTACTGCACAAGAGGCTCAGCTTCTACTTCCTTACCGCGGTTCCTGGCACGGAGCAGGGCGAGGGCGCCGAGGGCGAGCAGTGCCGCTCCCGCCGCCCCGAGCGCCGCGCCCATTGCACCAGATACAGCACCCCATGCGCCCACCGCGCCCACGGGCACTGCGCTAGACCCTGACAACTCTGCCCATACACATACAACCACGTTACTTTAACTCGATAAAAAGACAAATCTCATACCATAACACAAATTTACGAACATTGTGGAAAACGACACAGTAAAAAAGACATATGGCAGATCATTTCAGTACAAATAAAAAAGCGTTGCGCCTCCACCACTTGAACTGGGAATAAAAGGATACATGCATTATTGCGATAAAGTATAAATAAATCATTTCGAACAATCTTCATCTTTTATCTACGCATGTTAAGGAAATTGTTATAAGCATTGGCATACTTAATTTAACAGATACATTAAAATGATCCAAGACAAAAAAAATAAAGACAAAGAAAGCAAATAGGAATACTCAAAAAAATACCAGTCACCAAAGCACATTTCGAACGAATCTAATTATAAAGAACAAATGGATCCAAGAATTACACATCATGAAATTTATGTGTTGAACTCAAGCAAAATTTAAAGTTGCATAAATATGGTTTATTATTGTATAACGTTAAATACAAAAAGCGACACTAAAGTATTTTTAGTAACGATTTTATTACGTATCCGTTTCAAACTAGTAGGCGCCATTACCGAACAAAATCTTCTTTCAACGATACAAAAAATAATCATTGGCATATTAAGTTTACATAAAAAAATTGGTTTTTGAATTACAGATGTGGTGTGATAGTGTAATTGACAAAAATATATATTTTTTTAAATAGCAGCAAAACACATTTAAAATAAAACATGCCATAAAGCCACACAAGGTTACCATTAAACTTCACTGAGTGCGACTAGTGTTAAGTGTTCACTGACCGACAGTGGCGGTGGGTTTAGCAGGCGGAGCGCTCTCCGTCGTATTGCGGTGAGTGTCGTCGAGGAACTTGCAGACGCGGTATGGGTCGAGTTCGGGCACGTAGACCCGCGACCCGTCACTCGTCACCGCGATGTCGTGCGGGTTAGAGAATTTACCCGCGGGCGCGAACGTGCCCACCATACGTCCCGACTCGTAGTCCAGCACGTACCCCCGCACCGGCGCCCCGCCCCCCGGACCGTTTACTACGTATAACCTTCCGCCTGTAGAAAATTTGATCTGCGTTAGATATTTAAAAGGCCAAAGCTTGTATGAATTTACAATAAATAAATGATAGATGCTAGTACTGAACTCCAAAATTAAACTGAGGTTTTTAATACCAAGTTCAAAGCTACATATTTTATTGTAATGTGAATAAAACGTAATATGTACCATGTACGGGTGCGTATGCGACACTAAAGAGCCTGTCACCAATGAGCCAGCTGGAGTATGCGGCGAGGTAGGTGCCGTTGTCGGCGCGGAAGCAGGCCACGCGGCCGCGCTCGCGGTCCGCCACGCACACCGCGCCGCGCTCCTCCGCCAGCGCAAGCGCGTGCGGCACTTTGAATACGAACGGGGAATCCCCGTACCCTAACAAACACATTCGACCCTATTATCATACACAACCTTACGGGTTATCATAGACAGATTATCAATAATTACACAAGGTTGACATTTTAAAAAAATACTTTTAAGCTATAAAATATTTCAATACTACGTATCAAATAGATGTACACATACGTTTCCCCCACTGCAGTATCCGCGTGCCATCGGGCGCGAACTTGATGATTCTCGTGTTGCAATAGCCGTCCGCCACAAAGAACTCCCCACTCGACAGCACCGCCACCGCGCTCGGTTTGCAGAAGTGGTTTTCGTCATCACCTGGGACGAATCTAGTTAGGAAAAGTAAAAGTGACTTTATCAATTCTTATATTGTGTGGTGTTTAATTTTTTTGCAAGGCAATTTTTTGTAACTGAAACACCGCAAATGGAGGTGACAGTACATAGAAACTATTTAGGGATATAAATTTAACATCATATCAAATTTAATATTCACATATAATATTTATGTTTTTTGACAACTAATTTTGTGTACTAACTACTCGCCAGACTCACTTCTCTCCAAGCACCATAGCTGGTTTATCCCGTTGGTCAGGTGTGAACTTGAAGACCTGATGCAGGGCCACATCTGTCAGCCACACATTGCCCACAGAATCGACCGTAATCCCGTGAGGCATGTAGAAGCTGCAAAATTTAACAAATAATCTTATAAACTTATTCAAATGAAAATTTTCAGTGATTAAATCAGTTGTAATTCAAATAGTAGTAGTACATATGTGGTAATGAAAGAAAATAATCTTGTTTATTATGATTATACATATATTTTATACATAATGTAAAGTTAATACTAGGAAATAGGTGACATAACACTTGTTACATTGCTATAAGGCTATAAAAAGTGAACAAAAAAACAGAAACAAAATGACAAGTGACATTTACATAAAAAAATGTATAAAATAAATAAATGCCACTAAACAAACAGGAATTAAAGTCACATTTTAAAAATAGGTTTGATGTACAAAGTCTAGTAAGTAACTTTACAGAACATAGATTGTGGTAACCTCAAGATTTGAGTTGCAATACTTAACAGCATGGTGTACAGTAAAGTACCAACTCATCATTAAATATATTAAATCAGATTAAACAGTATGAAACAATATACCAAATTACTCACTGATTTTGTCCCCATTTATCAACCAGTTCTCCAGTGTCATTGATTACCAGGATTGTTGGTTCTGGTATAGGCTTTTCTCCTATACCATTGTACACATTTCTATCACTAAATGTACTAGCCCCCCATATATTAGGCCCTCGGTGAAACACCAGAAGTAGACCGGAATTGTCTAGAGCAACTCCTGACACTTGGCCCATTGTGATGGATGAATCAGGCCAATTATCCACCCATTTTGGTTCTAAAAAATTTATATCACAATAGTAAATGTGTTTTTTTTTTTATTTAAAATCAAAAGTTACACTTTAAATTCACTGTAAAATAAAAAATAAATAAAACTACGAACCATGTTCTAATTTTTCTAATGCTGCAGCAAATTGAGGCTGGTTATGTTCGTACAAACCATAGTAATCATTCACAGGCACCTAAATTTTATATAAATATAAATAAAACTTCATAATAACATAACCAAATGCTATAAATTTCAATTAACTTTCTTACCCTTCGTGCTGAAATGTAGATTAAGTTAAATACTAACACTAATAAAATATTTACAACATTCGGTACATCTGTACTTGATAAAGATTTCATTGTAAATATACTTATATTGTAATACTTATAAATATTTAAAATGCCGTTTATTAAACATCAACAAGTAAAGGAATTCTTATCAGATTTTATCATGACTGACATTTGGTGACGTATTCGATTTAGTGTTGCCCTTCGACGAATCTAGTCTCCTTAGAATAATCGAAAGTCTGCCTTGATTATCGTGTCTCCTGATAATCGAAAATTTTATTTTAAATAATGCGAAAATCTAAAAGTGCATTTTTAGGGGAATAACCTTTTTATGACGTTTATATTTACTTTCATTGGTTATTTTGTAAAAATATAGTAGAAAAAAAAATATGATAAAGAACTGCTTTAAAAAACGAAACGTTTATTATTTCACATATCCAGAACAGTCAAACGGATCTCTCTGAAAAGTATAGACCTGGAAGCCACTTACTAAGATTTTTTAATTCCGCGCAAGGTCGGGGGCAAAAGGTCACTTAGGACATAAGTCCACCATTGTGGTTTATACCTTTCTTACAACTATGTTAAAAATGATTGTATTAAATTTTTAGAATTTGAATAATTATAAAGTTTGATTTTAATAAGAAAAAACAAATATATGCATTAACTAATAAGTTTATTTCACACGCACAATAAAAGTGCCATTACACCTGAACGGAAAAAGTGACATTATATAAATAAACCCATTCGTTAACGGGGTCGCACATTTGCCTTACTGTTTCAGTATACGGCGCATTATCCTTAGCACTATTCCTCCTGCGCCAGACTTGTGTGCAAGAGAGTCATCAAACATTCGTCAAGAACAACTGCGCTTGTTCTTGCGTTACCTTTATCCTTTTCCGCATTTTCTTCAAGGATTTCGGAGATTTATTACAATCTTGTCCCAATGACGAGATGTGAGAACTGAGTTTGTTCACCAGCTCGACTCTAGCCTTGTCGAGAACATTATCATGTGGCTTAGTGCACATAAGTCGTCTGTGATAAAATACTAATTTATTCATTGTCTTATCAAGACTCTTTTTGGCTTTACCCTCAGCAGCCTCGTTCACTTCCACTTTAGTATTTTTCTTCTGATAATTTCTATTCAACTTTTTCCTCACTATTGCCGGACCAAGTTTCATAGATTTATCATTCTTTTTCTTATTAAATGTCACCAGCTTCTTTTTTACAGTATAATATTTATTAAGCAGGTCATGATAATCTTCTCTGGGCAAAGCGGTGAATACATAATGATAATGTTCACCGATTTCAGAACGCATATTTGTCGGTATATATTTCTGTCTGAAACTAGTTAATTTTTCTTTAAGAATTCGTAATTTCCTTAAATGCTTTGATCCATTGGCAAGGCCAGCTTGACCAATAAGAATCATATTGAGTTTTTTAATCACATCATTGAGGTTGTCCCGATTATTTGACAACTGCCTTGCGCTAATTTGCTTCTGTTTAAGAAGTTGCTGATGATGATTTTGTAGATAAGTAAACTCTTTATAGATATCTTTTGGATCGCCTAAATCTTCGTTCAGCGAATCCAGAGCTCTGGTTATCTTTCTTAAAAGATTGTACCTGTTGCGTGGCATATTCATGCACAGGATGTTTTCAGGATCATTTTCAACATCTTTATGATTTATCTCATTGTTAGATTTCATCTTATGACTATTTTCTAGACTTTGTATCCATTCTCTAAGATCGGATTGAAAAGCTTCTTGATCGCCGACTTTTCCTAAAATACTTATAAATGTATTGGAATCTGATTTCTGTACAGTTACATTATTACTCTGTGTAAATTTCTTTAAACATTCCTCTCCTTCTTTAGTTTTAAGTTTTTCCATTATCTCATTGGTTATATAAATCCTTGCAGTTGTGACAACATCACTTGTGTCTGATACTTCATTGTCTTGTATCATTTGTCCCTTTTTATCATGATTGGATGATGATGTTGTAATGCAATCTAGTTTTTCAAGTGTATTAGTAGTTTTAGGCGGTTCTGTATTATCATTTGTTACTTTACTTGAATCTTTGACCACTTTAGATGCATCTTCACACTGATCTTTATTTTGTGGTGTTTTCCTTCCGCTGACGTTACTTGTCATAGGACTGTTTGTATTTCTACTCGTGTCAACTTCCTCACAATTTGACATGTGTCGTTTCTTATTCATATGACCTTCATGACAAACAGGTGAATTTGATAATCGTTTGTTCCTTTCATTTTTATTTGACGCAGATTCAACCGAACTTGGTGTGTCTTGTGTAAAATAACGTATAAGCGGTCGATTTCTTTGTTGTGTGTTTTCATTTTGTTTATCGCTCCATATGGGATTATATAAGGACACGTATGGAGAATTGATGGGTAGACCGGAGAATGGCAGAGACACTCGGCAGGTATGTATGAGATGGCCCCGTCTGGCACAGCCACTGCAGAACAGTTGATGATGCCTCTTCATCTGCCGATTCTCCTCTAATGGTGTATTACAAGCGATCTGAAACCAAAAACAATATTAAAATTATATTTTTAATAAAAAAAATTATATATAATATTATTTGTAAAATTTTTCAAATGTCATAAGAACCAAGTATAAAATAATGTGATTTGAAAATAGTTTTTTTTTTGAGAAATTCGAATAATTATGTATATACCGTGTTATGATAGCGTCGCCACAAGTCGGGGCAGTGGCTGGCCGGGTGGCCGGTCTGTCCGCATTCAGGGCACCTTACGTTGTTCCAGTTTGAGCAGTTCCGGCACATCGTGGTATACATGTGATTTGGAGATCCACACTGGAATTAAATTACATTTTTCCTTAAATGCATGTATATCAATTCGTTTAGTAGTAACGAAAGAAGTTTCCTTAAACCTCTACGCTTAGGGACAGTTATAGTGTGCTTTCATAATCATTTAACATCCTTTTCATCTTACTAATATTATGTTTGGATGGATGTTAGAAGGTATCTCTGAAATGGCTCAATAGATCATGATGAATGATGAAATTTGACACATGGGCTACTTATTACGATTTTTAATTAAATATGCGCGAACAGAGTCGCGGACGACAGCTAGTGTATGTTATAAATAAGAATGTTAGATTTAACTTACATTAACACAAATCTTCCTAGGACAGCGCGTCTCGTAGTGGCCGGTGTATCCGCACATGTGGCACACGGGCGGTTTGTACCGACAGGTGTCATCTCGGTGCCCAGTGCGGTTGCAATAGTTACATCTGGAACAATTATTGTGATATTATTAAATAAAACTTTTTAATAGATTAGATCTGTCTACACATTATATGTTTATTACTTTTGAAAGTTACAATACATTTTTAAAATTATGATAACAATTTTCTATACTAACGTTGGTTTTCTCCTAGACAGTCCGGGCATTCTATCCTTGGGGTCAATAACCCACAAACTTTTGTCACCTGCAACAATTTTTTTATAAAATCAAAAAAGGTGTGTAATGAAGACACTTTCTAGCTAGTACTTTAATTATTAATATAACTGCTGTTAATTTAATAATTTTTTCGATCTACTTATTAGGTTTGAAAAAATCTTTTTGGCATGTGTAATAAATGCCTCGGAAACCATATTATTAGTATTTTATTATTAGTATTTGGCCTGGAATATTAGAATAATCTGTACAATGGTATTCTGTAATTTATGACATCTATCTGAACTATTTAACAAAATAAACATGAAGCAAACTGTCATGTCATAAAAAATTATATTTTTATATATAACATTTCTGACATAAAAGCTTCGTTAACAGTAATATTACAATCAAATAAAATAACTAATTTATTATAAACAGCAAGGTATAACTTACGGGACATATTTTTCTGAATTTCACGATGATTGAAGTTCTCTCCGCCCCAGCTTTCATTGTAAAATTTCTCCATTTCTGCTCGTAAAGTAGACAAGGAATATCGTCTTTTCTTGCATACTTTCTCTTTACCTTTCATATTATCGAAATCGAGATCTTCGTATAGAATCGCCGGTACTTTGGTAGAACCAAATTTCGTTGCATCGTTTTGAATTATATTCAAATGTTCAGTATTATCTGTTTCCTCCTGGAAACCAGTAACATTTGCCATGACAATGTTTTCATTAATTATCAAATTAGTATCATCGAAGGATGTTTCTGTCAAATCTATGGTTGGTTGACATTGTTCTACTGTTTGATTATTCTCTTGAGGCGACTCCAGAGTCTGGTCTGCCTCCGTCTGATTTTCTGAGCTAACATTGTCGTCTGAAGACGGGCAAATATTTTCTTCTGTTGGTTTTTGATTTGTTTTAACAGGACTTGTCTTCTCAGATTGGTTTGAATCTGATTCATAAACATCAGCATGTGGAAAACTTCTATCTATGAATGTATAAGATGTGTTAGTTCTCTCAATGCCGTTTCCAGATTGATTGCTGTCTGAATCGTAAACATCAGCATTTGGGATACTTTTCTCTGATACTGAATAGTTTTTAGTTTTCTGTCGTTTATTCTTTGCTTTACTTTTTGGTGTTGCAAAGTATTCACCTTCTTTAGCCACAGGTGTAGCAGGTGTTGGTGCATTTGTTATTGGTGTGGATGTTGCGGTATCCTTGTTTTTCTTCTTTTTTTTTCTTTTAGGTGGAGAGCTTTGGTCTATTATGTCAGAGCCATGGAGACTAAAATCAAAGCTTTGTTTGTTTGGATGTTTGGAGGATATGTTGAGTGCAATGCAGTCGCTGCGAATAAACTCATCAGAGACTGATGACACAATTGATGGAACAGGACTTGCTGACACATCTCTATCACTTCTATTTGTTGTTTTTTTATCTGGTGTGACTTTATTCACATTTTTCTCATTGGTCTCTGTAGTGTTTGTTACTTCTGCGATTTCATCTTCATCTGAACTCTCAATAGTAATGGTTGGTTTTGGTGGCAATTTAACCTCAATAACTTCATCCTCATCACTTGATTGCAATTCTACAATATTCATGGGTCCATCGTTATCTATTATCTCTATGCTTTTCTTTATGAATTGTGGTACGGGAGATTGAAACATGGATAAATCGGCAGGTAAAGGATTCGCGTTACATTTTTCTCCCTTAGATTTTACATTTTCCGGAATAAGTGGTTCATTTGAGGGCAAATTGGGTTGTTTTGCTCGATTAACCTTTTGCAACGCGTGATCATCATTAGTGTGCCAATATCGACGTATATTAGTTTGAGGCCGCCTGACCACGAAGTTATCATCCTTAAGGTTAGTGGTCAAATTGGCTGCCTCATTACCTTTATATCGCATAGAATAAAACCGTTCCTCTAGCTCATTCTCATTAAGATCCTGAAAGTGAAAACGATTGCAAAATCATCACGCATTGTTGTGTCACAACATAAATATGGTTACCTCAGTACTTACCTCCTCCATATTTCAGCGGTGAATTTGGATAAAACAAAATACCACACGAAATTAACATAATCGAAAATTGTAATGGAACAATTATAAAATTGTTGAAAGCATTATTAATAACTAAAACAGAATTTGTATTTATTATGGACACGTCTGACACTCCATAGCGAGTCGAGTCTTTTAGAACTAAAAAAAAATATAACCACAGACTAAAAATAACACAATTGTCATCTTGATTACAGATTATATCGTGTTTTTCAAAAACATAAACGTAAACATAAAATCTAAAACTTTTTTTACGTTTTTTAAATTTCATTTTTATAATAGTGTTAGGAGAAAAATATGGTAAATGAAATTTATCGTATTATAAGATCCAAACGTTATGGCTGTTCGTAGTTAGCTGTTAGAGCATGTCTGTACAGGTGGGAGCCAACATCGGATGGGTAAAAGCAGGAAACTGTTCGCCCTCGCCCTGATTCATGTTCCGCTGATACGTAGACTTTGGTGTTCTATCCAGTGTTTCTTAGATATTCCGAGCTTCCATAAAGTTTAGATAGTACATCGATATGCGCGCGTGCACCAACTACAAAATACGGAAAAGGATTACTTTTCGTGGCCGAAACTCGATGATATTAGGTTGTGGTTCCTCCGTTTCTTTTCATTCATATTTAGTAGTTAGTAGATATTGCAAAATCAACTTTTCGTTGTTACATTGTGTTATGTCCATAAGCTTGTATTCAGAATATTATGTATATTATAAAAGCGTGTTAAAATTTCATAGGCAGGTAAAAAAAAACACTTTTTTATTTCTTATCATATGTATTTAGTAATACTACAGTAAACATTAAAAAACATCATCTTCCTTTAAAAGTATCTTAAAATGGATAAATTATCACATGTGCTTGAGCAGTCTCACGATACAATCTTGAGCCATCTACCAACATATTCGCCGAGTTTCTGAACCGCATTTCTGTAATGAAAAATGTGAATTTTTATTTCAACGTTAATAATATGTTTCATGATTATGCTCAATAAATTATTCAAATTAATATATTTTGCTCGCTCATTATATTATCCATTACTCATACCATGAACAACTTTTTTTTATAATAATTAAAAACTGAAATGAAGGATTAAGTTAACCTGAGGCAGAATGTTGTTATTGATTGTTGACCGGCACAAGGCAAAAGCGAGGTGACTATTCGTTCCGCAGCCACTTCGCAATCATCACATCGATCCGTCCAGATTGGCTCACAGTGTTGACTGTTGGTCAAAAATATATTTGCAAAAAATAATAATAGTAATTTACTTACAATTAAAGAACAACTGAAATATGAATATTTAAGAGTATTTATACCAAAATAAGTGAACCAACCTTTTTGCAATATGTTGCAAGCTGGCCTTGAGCACGGCGTCGTATGCGCTGGTCGCACCGCCAAAAGCCCCGCTCGCCGCGCCCGCGCAAGCCCATGCCACACACCCACCCGTGCGGACCAGCGGTGACAAGCTCTCCAGTAACTAAACATTTGAAGAATAAATAACAGAAGTTCGTAAAGCCCTCAGAATCGTACGTAGGGTAGTTTGCGCTTGTTTTCCTTTGTTGATAGTAAATTAGATCATTGAGTCACCAATCAGTAACAGGTTACAGGTCTTCGCGATTCTAAAATTTACAAATGCACTGTTTAGTTTTTACCTTTACATTATAATATACATCCTCGGCAATTAATTGTGTGAGGCTATCCAGGCCACTTTGTTTCATTTCCGCCCCTATTATCACCAACGCGTCGGCTTTTACAGAAATCGCTTCGCTTGTCGCTGAGCTAGTCACTGTGTTCACGGTACAGCCGCGCGCTGTCAATCGCTTGGTTATTTCTTGTGCCAATGTGCTCGTGCTATTCGTTATCTGAAAAAAATACGTTGTCTATGGTAATGTCCTATTTGAAATTCAAGGAGCGGGCAAACGTTACGAAAGAAAAAATATTTAAATTACTACTTATTAAACTGAAAGTATAAACAGTAATTTTAGATACAAATCGTGTATCAAGCAAAAAGATCACGAACATTGACAGACTTGTTTATTTAAATATTATACTTTATGAGTTTCGTATTATTCCACTGGGGAGTGAACTTACTACAACATTTTTTACAGGTACCCGGTGGCGGGCGGTTACTTTGGACCGAGCTGTGTACGCCAACAGCGCGGAGGTGACCAACAGCAGAGAGCCGCCTTCGAGTGTCGCCAGCAGCCGCCACGCCAGCGCAGCACCGCCCTCTACCTCCGTCATCTGTAAAACTATTCATCAAACATCTATATTGAAACATGTCTCAATTTTTCTACACATGGGATTATAGTTATGACCCTATAATATTGTACAAATGTTTTAGTAGTGGAAGACGTTTTTTAGTTAAAACTACTGTAGCAATCAACTACTGGACCACCGTGGTTGACGATAGCCTAGTCTCCCCAGCAGGGCTAGGCCTCGAACCCCTCAGTGGGGACTTATAGTGAGCTGATGATGATTGTGTTACTAGTGTTGTTAAATCCGATAAATATATCAGATAATCAATATCAGTAGACATAATATAGTATGAGAATATGAGAAGTATTCTTATCGACATTGACAAAATGTGTGCCAGATTTGTTGTTGTGTTTTCGCCCGATATGAACGCTGCACAAATGTCATATCGTAGTCGTTGTTGATATGAATACTTTCCCGCCAATTTTCGTGGTAGGCCCGTTTGTTTTCTAGCTATGTTTGTCATACGAAGAGCATATCATCTGTCAAAGGTGACAGTTCAGAGTGATTTATGCACGTGATGACAATGCAAGTAGCGCGAAACTCATTTATCATACCATGTTGCAAAAGGTTATGCTCTTCTGCCCCTCTTCACAATGAAAATGATTTGAAGGTAGGATATAATGCAACCAATATGTAGATCGAGAAGGGACGCTGATACCAATTGCGTGTCCGCCTTAGCTACACTTCTCGTCTTTGACCGTGTACAAAAAACCGAGACAAGGCGGGTTAATATTGACTATAGCACGCATAGTTCTGTTTATGTCCAAATATCTGTCCCAAGACAGATGAAGTCCAATCCACACAAAGTTTATTGGAACCAAAACGAAAATTTGTAGCCGACGCGGCTAATGTAAAATATAAAATAAACTTAATGTTGTCTTTTTTATAGGCACAAAAAACCCGGCTTATAGCCAGTCCATTTAATAGAGGTTAGTGTTTTGGCCGTATACCTTGACCATAGCAGATTTGTATTGCAGATAAAAAAAAAACTTGACTGCTTCATTGTAACGGTCGAGTTGCAGAGGTTGTTTTTACAGATTATGCAAAAATGTATATACACGTTACTAAAGCTGTGAAGAATAATTTAATTTGGCAAATTCGCTAGCCTTTTGCACGATACGGATGTTATAATATTTTAAAGTATAAAATTTTGCAACAACCAGTTTTGGATACAGATGCTTCTTATTAATTAAGTATGGTCTTGAAGGTCAATGAGCGTAATCCAAACCGGTCGCGGATGCAAATGATATAAAATAAAGGAATATATGTTAATTAATATTATTTATTTTATATGGGATCCACGGGATATCCAATCATTTTTATTTACTTCGAGAAGTTTTTCAATTTTATACATGACAAAAAAAGGCTTAGAAAATTCGGAGCTTCACGAGCAGAGTTATATGGTAAAACACATAAAAAAATAATAAAAAAACGGACGAATTGATAACCTCTGGCTTTTCAAAGTCGGCTATAAATAGAAAACGAGAAAAAGAGTACGAACTACCGCAATACGTGAATATTGCAAACTGCATCAGATTGTATTTACGATTAGGTAATATGACTAAGTAGCCAAAAAATATTTATTTTTTTAAGCTATCTTTGCAACATCGATGGAGATTAGATTATTTCATTGTTATCACACGTAATAAATACGTTCAAAAAATCTAAAATGCAAATTAAAAAAAATTCCGATACCGGGAATCGAACCCGAGCCTCCTGGGTGAGAGCCAGGTATCCTAGCCACTAGACCATATCGGATATGTCTCAGTAGCGACAATTATGACATTAGAATAATCAAATAAAATGAGTGACATTAAATTAAACTGTAGTTATTTCCAAGATAATGTATTTAAGATTCTATTAAGGTATTGATTTAGCAACGATAAATCTTGCAATCGAAGTAAAAACTTGTTGAATTGAATGAGTTGAAAGGTACTTTACCAGTTCCTGCTATTGTATTCTTATCGACTGTTTAACAATACAGACCTTCGTTTAAACATACAAAAAAGGAATAAGCACTCACCGCAATACCCTAGGTACTGGTTCGAATTCTCTTGATCGGAATTCCGTATTATTGTGGTAGCCAGGCTTAAAAACCTCGGGACTCAAAAGTGAAACACGAGCAACAGGTTAGTAATGAACAACCCTATTTGGGATTCTTTAGTTACTGATAGCCTTGAAGCATTTACAGCTTCACTGGGCTTGAGGTGGCCGGGCGCAGATAACGCTTAGCTTAAGCCTCGTTTAAACTACGTTTGAGGGCTCACTCAGGAGCCTTGCATTGGATTGTTACTTAGTTAAATTATTCAAACTTTCGTGAGACATTATATTAAACTGATATATAAACACGGCTAAACACTCACGTATATACGTCCGGTGGCGGCACCGACTAGTTTCGAGCCCATCGGGGGCCCTTCATCAGTGACTAGGCCATAGTCAACCACGCTGGCCAAGTGCGGGTTCTTTGAATTTCTTCTCAGATATGTGCAGGTTGCATTACGATGTTTTTCCTTCTCCGTAAAAATTTGAAGATGAATGTAATTTGATATGTATAGTAGATATATTACCACTTCAGAGGATGGGGCTTGGAGTTCAGAATAAGTTTGCAATTAAAAGATAACCTCGTTTTTCGTTTTTTTTTTGGTTTAAATGATTCAATCTGTCGAAATGTTATGACTGTGGCCTTATTTAACAACAAAGTGAACTAGATATTAATAAGCGTGATCGTTACGGTATACAAAAGAAGTTAAACGAGACCTTAGAATGTCGCAAAACTTTTGTATTATTTTTTTGGGCCCTTCAAAAAGCTATTACATAATATTGAACTACTTATTGGAATCGTATGCATATTTGTTTGTTACCTTGGAGTTTTTCTATTTAATAAATAATCAATGTCCGGCACATTAAAATTAGTAGATTTTTGCAAATCAATAAATGAAAATTGAATTAACGGCATGTTTAGTTCATAGTTATAAAGCTTGCATCACAGTATATTGTAATAGCGCAACAAAAATCTGCCTTACCATGATTAAGGATTGAAAAGTTATAGAACTTGGAATAATGGCCATAATTTTTTTATTAAATTATCTTCTCTATCTATATATATATATAATTCTTCTGTGAGTGTGTATGTCACTGAACTTCTCTCAAACGACTGCACCGATTTTGATGAAATTTTTTGTGTGTGTTCAAGGGCATCTGGGAATGGTTTAGATTCACAATTTTGTCCGCTGGACAATGTTTTTTTAATTAATTTTTAATTTATTAGTAGTTGTTGATTTTGGAATGTTTTACATTGGATCCGACAGACGGCGCTACCATCGCAGTGTCAAATTTTAAATAATATTCGAATTAAAGACGTGTACACAGGACCACGTCTGTCGGGTCCGCTAGTAAATATATAAAAATCAATTGCTGTTCGTTAGTCTCGCTAAATCTCGAGAACAGCTAAACGGTTTTATCTTATCTTGGTCTTGAAATGTTCGTGGAGGTCTAGGAAACTTTTAAAAGGTGAGGAAAATTCGAATAATTACCGGGAAAACCTCAAAAACAGCCCTTTTCCCATATAAACGTTGTAGAGTCATTTTGAACTTTATTGGCTAATTATATATTTTTTTTAATCCGCGCGGACGGATTCGCGGGCGACAGCTAGTTATTAATAATAAAAAATAATTATGTGTCAAACTTTACTTCGGTTTTCTATCTTTGTTTTGACTACTTGGGTGTCTATAATATAATATTATACATTTTCTGATTGTTAAATGAATTTTTAAATCCTGAACTCCGCAATGTAGGCTTAAATCTTGCAAAACGTATAATTCTAAGAAAAGATAATAATTTCCGAGGATTTAAGAGATAAGATGTACACATGTCGTGTTTGTACGATCTATATTAGGTCAAAGACAATATTTTTACTCGTATTTCAAACTTCAAAGGAAACACATTAGTCATAAACAAAACCTTTCTAGACAAAAAAATCGTTACCTCTTTTTGTTTCTATTCACAAAGATGGCAGCTTGCGCGTTGCCACCTTATAATATAAAGAAAAAAAATCGCCGTATTTTTTTATGACCAGCGCAATATGGTTTTCAAATTAAAGTATTTAGTTAATAGAATAACTTGGTAAAAGTCCAATGAAATACATCTAAAACTTAAAATTGAATTGCCCTACTTTTTGCATTTCCAATTGACTTAAAATAATTTTAATATGACTTATTTAGATGATTAAAAACTATTTTGTTAATTGATTAATCAAATATAATCCGATATGGTCTAGTGGCTAGGATACCTGGCTCTCACCCAGGAGGCTCGGGTTCGATTCCCGGTATCGGAAGACTTTTTTTAACACTCCCAGGTCCCATAATTGTTATAATTCCACTTTTATGTTTTATTTTTTCAATCATAGCAATAGCATTTCGAATGAAACTTTAAAGAGACCCACCCTTTAAGGTTTTATCTGGTCAGCTTTCTAAACCAGTATTGTAACAGCCAATACTAGGAAATCATTTTGCTTCCTTGAATGCAATATTTATATTATTACGACAACTTTGGCGTGGTCTAGAAATTCTATTTATTTAATTCATCTAATGCATTTAAACCTAAAGAAAATACATTGATATTTTACATTATAATGTAATAAATACTTTTTAATCTTAAATGACATAAATTTTGAATAAGTTCATCATGTATATACGTTGCTTGCATACAAATGAATTGAAATCGTCTACAATTATTGTAGGTCATGGGTCACTCAGAGATTCAGACACTTCCTTGTACAATTATTTATTGAACTTGAATCTTTATTCGAATAGTATCGAATTATAAAAATTGTGGAGATATTAATAATTATATGGTCGTAAAATATTCGTCGCAACAAATACTTCAGAATTGTTTTAATTTCAGCATTCAACTTAAGGAAAAGATTCATCGCAATTTTTTTAGAACTACATAACATCTCTTTATACATAACACAAATAAATAAACAGATGTTTGA